GGTTTATGACATTGGGTTTACCACATCAATGGATATATACCACATATTAGTTGGTGAATTCCATATTTTGGCCATGAAATCCCTATTTTTGCTTGGTTACCCTGTTTTTTTTACTAAGAGTTCGACGGATCCACCATTTAATTTGGTTCCATCGTTTTCCAAAGGGGAAAGCCACCACTAAGTTCCACAGTTTCTGTGCACCGGGGTTACAAGTGCAGCTGTCACCCTCAAATTCAATGCATATATTGACAACGTATAGTTACATGTGTATGTATGTGCATGTATGTACATATGTATATATGTATATATATATAAATATACACATACATATACACATATGTATGTGTATTGATGTAGTAACTACATATATATATACATATCTGTATGTATTTGGTATATGAATTTCATCATAGACTGTATGTTAGGGATTTGCATGTTTGAGATAGGAGACCTGTTGACCTGCCACAGTTGAATTACCCAGTGACTGGGACGATGCAGGGCACAAATATCGACGGCCGGACTACCAGGCGCAGGGCGCTCGTGGACGATGCGGCCTTAAGCCATGAAGAAAGTGGTGTGATCAAAAGAGAGTTTCAAGTGGTTGGGCAGTCTGAAAGTTTTTTCTTTGAAATACTTTTGATCGTTCGGAAAGACCAAGTGATGAGGTTGTTTTTCGGGGATGGGTCGAATTCACTGGGATCAATACTGATCAAGTCCCCAAACCATGCCAGGCTGATGATGCTTGAGTCGTAGTGGAAGGTGGTTACAACCCCCAAACCTCCGGGAAATTGCAACTTCTGAGGCTTGTAACCAACTCTCTGTGGCTTATAACTTACAACCCAACCCCATTGGATTTGACCATGGAGCAGTCCTATGACTATCTTGTGGACTGTTCACTGGTCGCATCTCAGGAGCTGGCGAATCAGCATCCCTTGATCCACAAGGTGCGGAGATTGGTTGCACAAGCAGAGCTGATCGTTTTTTCCACAAACACTGTGTCCACACTGAGGGGTTCTCAGGGTAGGTGTAAAAGGCCGGGGTCAGATCAGGGTTCTCCTTCTGGTCTGCGGCTTTTGACTACTCAGGCTCGCACAAGTGAGATGTCCATGTGCTTTTACTGCGAGCGCTCGCACAAGATGGGCGGCGCGGTTTTGTCTCTTCCGAAGGTGTAGTTTTACGAGCGCGCCGTGCTTTTTTTTTTGAGCCATGGCTATGTCCATTTTTCTTGGCAGGGGTGGTACTTTCGGGACGAACGTCGTTTTGCGTGACAGGCGCAGGACATCGGACACTCTTTCATCCGCGTGGCAGGCATGGCACTTTCTGCACATGGCAGGCCAGGGTCAAAATGAGAGGTGCTTTTGGAGGTCATGTTTCGTGGCAGGCGCAGTATTTGGTGAACTCGGGTCTCGTTTTGTGAAATTGTCGTCATTTCTGATTTGGGACATGATGATGATGCCGTGTGGCAGGTGCAGCGCTTCAGATGCCTCGGGCCCATTTGTCGTGGCAGGGGCAGTACTTTTTAGACCTCGACAAAAAAGTAGCTGAGACCTAGGTAAAACATCGTTTTTGTTTTTGATTTTAATTTTCCGTGGTGCATGCAATGTTTTGCAAACATCTAACATGTCCTCCCGCAACCCTCCCGTGATTTTGGCGCGGCGCGAATTTGATATCGTCGCGCAACTTTGTGTGTGTCGGATCGCTCTCGGTGTGGCGCGGTGCTGACTTTTGCTGATTCTCTGAAATCCTGGAAGAAATATCTTATGAGTTCTCTCTGGAAGGTCCTTGTATGACGATCTTGCAGAGGAGTTTCATGGCCATCTTAGAGGTCCATGATGTATGAAGATCTTGAGCAGGGCCTTGTAGAGGTCCTTGTGAACAGACGTGAAGATCCTGATGAAATCATGATCTTGTACAGGTCCTTATCAGATGCAGATCCTGGTGACATCTTCTAAGAGGTCCTTGCGTGATCTTGAACAGGTCCCAGTGAGAAGATCTTGTGGGGATCCTGGTGAGGTCCTCTCTACCTGGTCCTTGCATGATTTTGTACAGATCCTTGGTCAGAAGATCTTGTGGCGATCCTGGTAGGATCCTCTCTAAGAGGTTGTTGCATGAAGATCTTGCAGGTGCCATGTGTTAGAGGTGCTTGTATGAAAGCCTTCCGGGATGCTCTTGGGAGGTTCTTGTATCAAGAACTTGTAAGATCCTCTCCAGCAGAAGCAGGTCGTTGTATGACGATCTTGTGAGATCCTCTTAGGGGTCCTGGCATGAAGGTCTTGGTCAAGTTCTTTTACAATTCCTTGTGAGAAGATCTTATAGAGATCCCGGCGAAATCCTCAAAGGGGCCCTTGCGTGATCTTGTACAAGTCCTTGCGAGAAGATTTTGTGGAGATTCTAGTGAATTTTTGTCAGATGCCTTTGCATGATCCTGTAGAGGCCCTTGTGAAAAGATCTTGAAGAGGTCCTGGTGAAATCCTCTATATGTCCTTGCATGATCTCGTATGGGTCCTTGTGTGAAGATCTTGTGGAGATCCTGTTGAAATCCCCTTCAAGAGGCCCTTGCATGAAGATCTTCAAGATGCTCTGATTGGTGCTTGTATTAAACTTCTTCTGGGATGCTCATAAGAAGTTCTTGAATGAAGACCTTGTGGGATCCTCTCTCTCTCTCTATATATATAATAAAAGGTCCTTCTTTGATGATCTTTTGAAATCTTCTTAGATGTCCTGGTATGAGGTTCTGGCATGAGGTCTTTGATAAGTAGACATAGCTTTGCTTCTTGCGCCAAAACAAGGTCTTGCTGCTGCAGTTCCGATAATGTCTAACCTGATTTGTTATATTCCATGGTTAATGTTGCTTCTATCTGGCGCATTGACTTCCTACCCCCCACAGTCTTCGGGGTCTCTTGCCGGTGTAACGTTTTATTTGTTCTGTTTTTTGAGACCCAGGTTATATGTATATGTATATATGTATATGTGTGCATATATATATTATATATATTATATAAATATATGTATATGTATATGTATATGTATATAAATATATGTATATGTATATGTATATGTATATATATATATAAATATGTATATGTATATGTATATGTATATGTATATGTATATGTATACAAATATATGTATATGTATATGTATATGTATATGTATACGTATATATATATATATGTATATATGTATATGTATATGTATATGTATATATATATATATAAATATGTATGTATATATTCCTACACATAGACACGCGCACAGATTGGATTGGATTGGATTGGATTGGATTGGAGTCAGTGCTGCCAGCGATGGAGGGGCCAGGACCGTCATTTTTCCTGCAGCCCGGAGGCCTTGGAGGTTGCCCGCCATGGCAAGCAGAAACATTGGGACCTGGATGGCGAGGTGGGACCAAATTCCTGCTGGTTTGATGGGGATTTGATCATTTTTAAAACGAAACATGGTGAACAACCAAGAAAAATCCATGACACATGGTGAAAAAACATGAAAAATGGTGAATGGCGATAAATCAACATCCAAGGACCTTTTAGAATTGGTTTTGAGGAACAAAAAATGGCGAAATACATGGTTTTAGTGAAACCCTATCGCTAGTCACTAGCCCAACCTCTCACCATTTAAGAGTGTGTCTGAACACAGGGATTAGCTGGCCACTCTATGGCCACAGACAATGGAACAACCAGGTTCTGAACCAATTTGGGGGTATCTTATTTTTAGACAAAACCAGCTGGCAATGAAGGCAGGGGAACTTGGGAGGGCTGGGTTCAACTGGAAATTTTGTTAAATTTCGGGGATGGGTATGAGGTAAGGTTTTAAGACTCTGAGAACGACGAACTGGTCACTGGTGCAACACCTAGAAACCGGGCCTTGAACTCACCCTTGTTCATTCGTGACAGGAGTCCAACGGGCCGTGCCTGGGGCATGAGCGGCTTTGGTGTGGGAGGAACTACTTCTCAGGTGAAAAAACATTGAGAATTCGGAGTTTCAAATAGTTTCATATCATTTCCCTTACTGAACCATCGGAATTGGGATCGCAGACATGAATCGTGGAACCCTGAAAGCAGCTAATTGGCAACATGCTGCTGCCACCGTCCAAGTTTCTTCTTTTTCAACCGCAGTGTTTTATGGCAACATGTTTTCTTCTCAGAGCTGACGTTTCCCTCATTGCAGCTCAGAGAGTTCCGGTGTCAAAGCCAGCAGATCCCTTGGTGCAGAACATAGTGTATAGGTCAACATATGTTTTTCACAGGAAACCACACTTCTTACCAAGTACACAACTACGGTCATGAAAGCTCCACCATTTGCAAAAAGAACTTCGAACATTTTTCCTGACATCCACATCAGTTTTTGTTGCCTCATTCTTTCCAAAATGGGGAGTGTCTGAGAATAGTCGGACAAAAAAAAGAACTTTGATGGTTCAGGAGTTCATGACCATTATTCCTACTACACATGACCATATTTTTGGAGGCAAATCATGGCAAATCCCTTGAAACCAAGGCGTGGATCCATCGCCTGGAACTTGGAGGCCAACCTATGGTCCATGGTCCATGGTCATGGCCAAGGTCTTGCCTAACAGAAATCAACTGTATCGAATCATCTCCTGAGTGAGAACTCATCACCTTCCATTTTAAGAGGTTCTATGCCCTCTGCATCACCAGTTTCATCGCCTACTGTAGATTCTCGGTGAAGAGCCAGACAGCTTTTGGTCATCTCTGCCATAAAACCATGCAGCTGTGTGTTTTCCGGCAGCCATTCGTGTTTTTTTTAAAGATGACCTGGATGTTGACAGGCACTGACCCTTGAAACTTGACCTCAAAATCTCCCAAAGTACTACAATATTATCGTTTTTTCTTCATTTTCAAGCAGGATGCCCGGTCAGTTGACCGTTGTGAACTGGCCAAACCATGTAGTCTACATTGAGAGTCTACATGCCAAAAATATTTTGATCCATGTTTGGGAAAGTCTAAGCCGCCGGAGTGAAGACCTAAAATTTGAAATGGGTCTGGATCCATGTTAAACCATGTTAAACCATATTAAACAATGTTAAACCATGTTAAACCATATTAATCCATGTTAAACCATGTTAAACCATGTGAAACCATGTTAAACCATGTTAGTTAAACCATGTTAAACCATGTTAAACCCAATTCATGATTTCTCTGAATTTATCTTGAAACATGTCAGCCATGTGCAGGAGTTGAAAGACTCCAAGGATCCCAAGGCTGCGGACCCGGTGCCAGATGCTGCCATTCCCACTGCCGCAGAAACCAGCGCAACGAACGCGGAGCCGGCGCCGGAGATCTCTGCGGGGCAGGATGGATCGCCTTGGGGAAGCGGAGAGCATCTGGCACCTCCAATCGTTGAGTCCAAAAATGCTGGAAATGACATAAAATAACACAGTCATGACTGGTGCCCCGTTTAGGTTACCTGACCTGTGGGGGTGCGAAGAACTGTGTTGGGCGACGCCAAAGCCTCGCAAGGAGTTGAAGGCTGATGAGAATCATGTTGGCGCGGAGTGAGCTATGCCAGCTACAGCTATGCCAGCTATGACAGTAGCGGAAAGGTTCTTGTCTCAACTCCGGCTTACATGGGCTTACATGGTTACCACCATGGGTACCAAATGTGACCAAAATCTACCCAATTCCTGCACATTCATCTCGACCTGAGATGGCCGATAGCCGCTCCTGCTTGGGCTGGGCCAGGAAGAAAGCCAACTCCATCAGTTGGCCAACACCCAAAATTTGGGCCTTATCCAAGCAGGGATTCCTTAGTCAGTACCAATCAGACAGGACGCTGCCCAAAGCAACTCAGATGATTCGAAGATGTTTGAATGGATATCCATATGGAGATTTCCTAAAATGGGGGCACCCCCAAATCATCCAATTTTGTAAACCATCCAGCTATTGGGGTAGCAGCATTTATGGACACCCATGGACACCCCCAGATGCCAAAGACACTTCACCATTGATCCAATGGGTGACCAAGTGATCATAGGGTACTCAAAATAGACCATTGCTTGATCCATTGAAAATTTGTGGTTCTATAAGATGGTGCCTGATCCATAGAGCTAGCTAGGAGCTTGCGGAATATCTAGAAATTCAGCATTTTTCAACCAGATCTGGAATGATCCAAATTCACAATATTGTTCAGGAGGCTTGAAACCACAGACGAGAAATGTATTTGCGGGTCACACTGTGCCCATCTGCCCATGCTTGGAGCGTTTATGCGGGGCAACTGCCAAGCAGTGCATTCCGTCGTGTTTTTTTTTTCCGGGTCTCCAGCCAAGAGGAGCTTCCTCGCCAACCACAGACTTTCAGTAGGTCAGTGGGGTTTAATTTAATGGCATTTCCAAGGCTTCTGGATGGTGACACCACATGCCATGAAGCCATGTTAGATCACTTTGTGAAGGTTGGACGCTGGCAAAAGGACTCAGAATTGGACACTTCCAAGTGCCCGTGCCCCACTCCTCGTTGAGGAAAATTGCATCACGTCGACAAGTCGAAATTGGGGGTCCTGACACCTGAGCACATGGGCTTTTGTCATTTGGAGAGGAGTCAATATCTATGATATCACACGAATGGAAGGATGAGCCTCTACAATATATGAGCTCAGTCTATTTTGTGTTATTTTGGTGCTCGTCAAGATAGCAGGGTTTTGAATGGTTGAAGGTTTAAAACTACTGTAGTTATTGCTAAATGGCAATAGAACGACTTGCACTGAATTTTTTTATAGTCGCCAAACTCTTTTGGGCACGTTGAGATAGTCAGGTCAGTACATATGGGGAGGGGTCAAATTCAGGTACCCAGAATTACCCAGGCATTTGCTGTTGACAATAGCCATCATTACCCCAGGTTCCTTAAATCTTGAGCCACATCTGATCCATATGATCTTTTAGCAACTTTTGATACTTATGTGACCTATGTGAATCAGGTGCCTGGCTCCATCTTTTTATCGACTCCTTCAAGGGGAGCTCGCAATAGATGGAGGTGAATCCCTTGTGAGGTCCTGGCAATCGAAACAGATTGGAACATGTCACATGTCCCGGGCTCATGGGTTTCTGTATAAAGCAGCTTCAGTCAGCTTCAGTCAGCTTCAGTTTCTCTGAAAATCCTCGCGCCAAAAAAACCTCCTCCAAGAAACCCAGCGTGCACAGCGCTGTTAACGAACGAGGCCACAATGGACAGCGGGTGGATCTTCAAAAATCCAACGGCGGCTGGGAGGATGCGGATTCCTAGGGGGAAAGTCGTTGGTGCCTGAAGTCTCCTTTTCCTACACACATAACATAAGTCTTGTGTCGCATGAGTGAACATGGTGCACCAGCCCAGGGTTCAACCAGGTGCTGAGCTGTGCTATGCTTTGACAAGGTGAGGAGCTGGCAGCTTGCAAGTCCAAGCAATGGGGCAATCACTTAAAAGCAATGAACAATTGATACATTAAAGTGATTAAACATGATTTAACCATCAACCATCGAAGCCATGGCAATGTATGTCGCGCGATTCATATGGATTCAACCGTCGGAGATGAAGATTTCATCAGGTCATTAATCCATTTGTCCAGAAACGGGGGATTTATCCCACATATTCCCAAATTATCCCACTCAATGGCCATTTAATGTGATGATAATGAGGGTTTTCTTTAAAGCAGGGGAGTTTGGACATGGGCCAGGATCGCTGGGATGGGGAAATCTCCCTAACTTTCCTGCAGCAATTTTGCACTACGAATTTCACCAGGCTTGTACCCCTAGAAGATCCACATACATCATCATACATCATCATACATCATCATACACTTTCATACATCCATACAATCCATATAATCCATACAATCCATATCCACATTCATATCCATATGAGCTATTGCACATCCATACAATCCATATATAAATCCCCAGTCTCAACTAGTCCCGCCCGTCCAGTTCTTGGCACTTGCTCCGCCCAAAATTTGGCTTGCCGGCTCAATCAGCTCGCCGCTGTCCGCGCTTCGGCCCGGCTTTGTTTTTTCAGTGCGGGCATCTTGCCACAGGTGAAACCTGTAGATGGGGAGGGTTGAGAATTTGACCCAAACCAGCGTTTTTTAGTCGGTAGGGAACTATCCTGTTTTGGGTCAATTTAACACATACACATACTGTATTTGGATAAATCACAACGACTTCAAACGACGAGAAGGAATCAAGAACAGTCTTGAGTCTTGGATCTATATTTATACAGTACATAAATCACTTATATAATCTTATGAATTATATATATAAATCCAGACAGATTTGAAACATCCTTTTGTTCACCCCCTAGGGTTTCAATGCGAAGATATTCTACAAATTGGATCATTTTCTGTATCCCAGGAGTTTATGTCTCTGACAGGCCCAAATACACTGGATATTTTGAGCCCCCATCATTTACTCGCTATGGTTAGAATATATCTTCCATTCTCAGAATCTATCTATTTGTTGGTCATCTGTCTGTCGGTCTGTCCGTCCGTTACACATAGAATCATATAGTTTGACCCGCATGCGTAGTAGACTTACCGGGTGCTATTTCAGCCACACATATGTACATACTGTATGTGTATATATATATATATATAATATTCTACTAATTCATATGCTACAGTATATATAAATATGTATCTTCCATTTTATGGTAGTGATGGCCATGTGCATGGGAGACCGGGGCCGTACCAAGGAATGCGCACTGCTGGCAATGATTTACTATAGGCCTGCTGCAGGGGCCATGGTTTGGAACGTCTCCCGCCACCCTGCTGAGATTTCCAAGTTTGACCCCACGATTCTTCCACTTTACCCCGCACATAGAGTTTTCAATGGGAACAGCAGCCATAGATTGACCATGGGGAATTTCCAGCCATGTCACCGATTGTACCCAAACCCATCTCCCCACCTTTGGGCCGTAAAAAGCCGCAGGAAGGGCTACGGTGGCTTTTTCATCCTTTTCCGCCTTGTTGGCACTTCATGGCCCTTTGGGGCACCTCGGCAGACACCGAACGCCAGAGGGTCAATTTCGCTGCCGAAGGGAAACATCGACTATCATCTACTGTCTAGTGAAAAAAACATGGACATGAACGAAGCATGTCTACTCGTACCATCTACTATCTACATCTATACCCCTGATGAACCACTATTAGCCATCATTAACCCATGTTAACCATTATTAACCCGTTATTAACCAAAGGTTATCTACATTTTACCAACCAAGGTTTGGGGTCCCAAAAACAAAAAAGGGCCCCGGGGTCGAAGCCATCGTTAGCTGGCCTGAGGTGGTCCCGGGATTGCAGCTTGGCAGCAGTTTTAACGCTTATGACTTATGATGTGTAACCCGACCAAGTAGTATGGATAATGTACAATGATAGTAGTATGTATAATCTATATCATATCTAATATACAATATTAATCATTAATAAATTAATAGCAATAATATAAGTTAAGCACAAGAATAATAGGTCCCCCACAAAACCATGGCGAAACAACTGGAGGGCGGGCCTTAGCTGCTGCGCCTGCGGCATCTTGCGACATCTTGTGTCGCCTCTGTCGCCTCTCAGGATTGCGCTGGGGATCAGTTTAGCCCTGAGCTATATCACCGTCTTGGATGACATTATTCGAGACAGGCCGAGCGAACGCTGTTGCGAAGCCGGGCTTGTTTTGGCTGCACCAAGATTTCTTGGACCAACCTGTCAGTTACTGTAAATTCAACTACATCACAGCTACTGGCGCTGGTTTCGGTGGCTTGGAAGGTTTAGGTCTCTTCACGGATTCCAACCCGCCAGTCACCTTGGTTGAGCCAAGGATTGACCTCCTGTACTCACCATTTTGCAAATGCACTAAAAGGTCCCTATGAACCTTCAAGAGAATCTTGTGTGGGTAAGCCTTTGCTCAGGGGTTACTTTTTCCCCCCCTGGGAATTTGGAATACAATCTCCTGCCAAACTCAAGCTTCAGGGAATTTATATGTAAGGTTAGGCATGAACTGGGCCTTCAGCTGGCTTCTGACCATCCCAATCTGCTGGTGCTCCAACCGACGTGACTAGCGCCTCAAGTCCTATGGCCAGGACTGAGTTTATCAGCCATCCCTACGCCTTCCAACTTTTCGCTTATCTCTTAGGCCCACATGAGCGGAAGGGCTACGGCTGCGGTGGGGCTAAAACTTGGAGTGTCCAGATACTGAGAACCCAGGACAACCCCGTTTGAGGCAGCTGACATCTTGAACATCTCAGTTTCTTTGGATGGGTGATTTATAAATATGGACCCCCCAAAAAAAATGACAAAACCCATTCAATAGGGTTGGTCCCTTAGTACCCTTTGTGTATATTCAGATGAACAAGGAAGGGACCTTGAACGGAAACTCAATGTAAAAATGCTGTCAATCTACTTATTGGGCGGCTTCAGCGTTAAGAGAACCAGAAAAGTGAGGTTCACCTCCTTCACCAGCCTAGTTGGTACCAATCATTGGTGCTATTTACGGCTCTTTGTCTTTGAGTCAACGCCAGGTTTTCTGATGGTCTTCAGGAGAGTGGCTTGGTGCTTGGCGCTGGAGAATGCCTTGACAAATTCAGTGCCGATACCATTCAAAAAGGGAAGCAGAGACACAGGTATCAAAACAGTGCTATCCATACACTGGAAACCAAAATCAATATGGACTACTGTATCTTTTTGTTGAATTTTGGTGCTGTGGTGCTGCTCAGGGGCCAACATTTCAACAGCTTCAACCTGAAACATCGAATCTAGAATCTATATGCAAGAAACTACAAATGACGTGCTTGAGATTCTTCAGAGCTCATTGCCGATCATGTCACTCACAATATGGCAACCATTACTGTTCTATTAATATGGAATGTAGTCTTGGGATGCGAGTGCCGATCAGTAAATGACGTCATGGCCCATCATCTCCAGCGTTGCTGACCCGACGGTGGATTCGAAATGGGTTCCACTTCCATTTCTAGGTTATTTTCATGGTTGTTGGCATGAACATCTCAAATAAACGTAAGGAAACCAGTTAAATGAATTGTTTGAAATGGAACACACCAAGTATTTCATTTATTTTGATTCCAATCAGGCACTGCTCAACAGACTCAACAGATTCAGCACTGAGCGGACACAGCCCCTCTTGGTTGTTGTCCAGGCTTCTGCTACAATGAAATCCCCAACCAATCGATAGAAACAACCGGGGACTTTGCCATTGTTGTTGTTGTTGTTGTTGTTGCTGTTCTGTCTCTTGTTTTCAGCGCATCCCACCCTTGTTTTTCGAGTGTCACGAGTCTTTGGATATCTGTGGAACTTACTACTTGCCCATTTTGCTCGTCTCCCTATTTCTCATGGCTAGTCTTGAAATTGCCACCCAGAGCCGCAGGACAAACTTTGCGTATCAGCGCTACTGGGAGGCGATAGGCGCACCAACATCCCTGCTGGCCATCCAAAGGGGGAATATCAACGGTTTTATGGCCGAAAATCAAAATCCAGATCTGAATATGGGTCAATATGGAATCAGGCCACTTTGGTAGTACCCTGGCAGCTGGATGACAACAAGCTTGGACGGACTGGCCGGTCCTGATATTGCCTTGCTTTCCATGATCTTGGACATAGGAACAATTTCCGGAACATCTTTTTTTGTCGGATGTGGCATCATTTGGGTTTGTCACAAAACAGCTTGCCCCCGACATCTAGGGGTTTATCACCTTCCCAAGGGTAAACTGGCACTGTTGGTATACCTTATTTTCCATCGCAGCAAGTTTCCATCGTCATTTTTGTTGACACATTTTGTGCGTTGACAGGTGCGATGCAAAACATGGCGCGGGACCTCAGATTTCGATCGTTAGGATTCGGGGAATTTGAGGTTTCCTAAAATGGGGGTACCCTAAATTTGACTATGGCCCATAGCAAGGAAGCAGTATGTTTGGATATTTTTGGACTCCTGGTTGGATTGTGTTGGAGGACCGTCTCACTTCGCAGTCAACCAGCCCTAGGAACTGTCTCGGTTCCTCTTGCTGTGGTCACCACATGATTGGGTCATAGTCATAGCTAAAGTGGTAAACCGTTTACCCAATAACACACCATCCCCCGTTGGGGTTTACTTGGGTATACGGTATACCATGGTATATACCCTCCCAATGGTTGGTGGATGGGATGGTTTTCTGACAGGGTTTCCCATGGTTTCCCCCATTCCTCTGGTTCTATTTCCAGTTGGGAGCCATCAACTTCGCAGAGGCTGCGAAATGGCTCGATGGAGCCTTGATGGGCATCACCTTTGATGCTGCAGGAAATCGAGATAGGCCGAAAGTTGATGGGCTGACCGCGGCTGACCCAACTGATCCAAGACATTTGGACTCGGCTAAATTGCGAAACCAAAGTTTGGAGGCTTTTCTAGAGGACATGTTGTGGAACCAAGGGATTGTTGGGATGGCATGAACCTCCAACCAGTGGTGTTGCACTGTATACTGTGTATAATATATGTATATAATTATTATAACTATACATATATATATATATACATACATGTATATATATAGAGCATATGTACATAGAGGTATGATATTGTTATATAAAGTTATTTATACATGTATACAGGTATACAAATGATACTTAAATACACAAACACACCATTTGTGTACAGAAACTCATTAACCATCGACCAAGAATCGCCCAGTTGACTCACGACCAGCTCTCCCCGCCAGGCCTCTCCTCTATGGAGCACAGGACGACTTGCCCTTGGCTGCGGCCGTTTGATTCGCCAACAAGGGGACAGAAGCCATGAAAAAAAATCTATCTATGTTTATATGTACAATTATGTATATATATATACAGTACATATATATATATATGTATATGTATATGTATATGTATATGTATATATATATATGTATATGATGTTATATACAATTTTACTCGCATGGATGATTTGGAACTGTGAAGGATGAGATTTCACCCAACAAAAAGGACATTCACAAGCCCAAACCCGGTGAAATTGGCTACAAACGAACGGAACTCCAAAATCCAAGGATGGCTTCACAAAGAGACCAGGTTGGCAGATTAGGATCCCAAAGTTTGGAACAGCCTGTTTCGGTTCTTACCTCGAGATTTTTCGTTACCATATTTCCTAACAACTTGAATTCTTTTGCGTTTTGGGTCCGATGTGAATGTGGTGCACCTGCAGGACGGCGAGAGTGGCATGCCGCACCCCACCAGCGGCTCGAAGGGTGGACCGCATCATTCCGTTGGGAGACCTGGTGTTCCACCGTGTTTGGCGAAAGATGGGTAGGGCAGTTACAAGATACCCTCTGGTAATTTAACGTAGCTATTGGAAATGGCCATTTCCAGTTGAAATACCTATTAAAAATGGTGATGTTCCATAGTTATGTTAATTTACCAGAGGGTACTTTTTTTGGGATGAATATTCACAAATCTTAGCTATAGCTGATGTGAACCGAAGGGTACTCGTACCAGGGATTTTTACCCATTTATATTCGAAGATGGTGAGTACTTGCCCGGTCCAAGCCTGCGAGTAAACATTGCAAGATCCTCCATGAGCAGCAGCCAGAATAAGAATGCTGATCTTCAGGAAACTTCGCGAGGGCGTTCTTCTTAATAGGGCTATGGGGGTGTAAAGTCCATGTGAAATCTTGAGGATGTACAACCACTAATAGCGATGAAGCTCAAAGAGCAACCTCAAGAAAGATAGACACGCAACATGAACATACATCAACCAAAATAATGGCAAGTTCCTTTCTATGTTTTTGTTATTCCTACAAACATGTATAGGAACATCTCGGGGCTGTAGCTGGCGTTGACGTTGACATTGACGTGGGCGCAAGGCCTACTATGGTGACATCGCTCACCTCTGTAGTCTGCTCCATGCGGTGGCGCTGCAACACCTGCGCGCCGATTCCAACTTGGACAACTTGGAGCCACTTGGAGTGCCGCGGAACGGTGATACCTCGGGCCTTTTGACGGAAATCTCATGGGACCAGTTTGCTGATGAATCTGTTGCTGTATGCTACAGTGTGTATTGTTTTTTTAATTGAGTGAACACATCGTCTATGGATTCAGGTGAATATCAGCATGTGGGCGATGATTTTCCAGCCAGTCATGTTTGACTATCGGAGGCTAGTGCACATGTTCAAGCGGTGTAGCAGGTCTGCTATCCCACCAAAAACTGATTATGTAGTGCAGACTGGAAAATGGCATATCCTCTGGTTCTCAAACATGGCTGGAAAATTATCCAGGTATAGTCTGATGTTTTTTCCCATCAAAGCCTCCATTTACAAGGGATTTCCCAGCTAGCCATGTTTGACTGCTGGAGGGTAACACGAGGAGATGACATGCTGAAGGAATTGTGGTGGTGGTAGCCTTGCGTATTGGAAGTAGTTTCTATTGAGAGCTAGGAATGGCAGAGAATCAAGCTCACTTTGTTCAACATTGGAGGTTGGAACTTGGAACTTGGCTACTTTGCATACCCAAAATTACACCAAAGCACTGCATTGTAGGATTGCAACCATGGAATTGACCGGACCAAACTAGAACAATCTCGAACAGCTTGCCACAACAAAGGATGGTTCTTTTGGGACATGACCCCAACATGCGACCTGATTTCAGCTTGTTGAATCATTAGCACTTTGACAAGATTCATTGCAACTGGGATTCTCACCTATTCTATACTTGTACCTGTGGATAAAGAGTCACACAACCCAAGATGCTCTCAACATTTTTCGACCCAAAGTCATGGATGGTTAACATGACCACTTCTGTGGGTCCTATGGGTACTCCAGTTTTGGGCCATACCCAATAACCACCTCACTGAGACGTCACCGGAATGATGGTTAGTACTGGTAAGGATAGTAACTTGCAATTATCCCCAAATAGCCGCACTCTTCAACTATATAATATAATTTATCCAGGTAATCCCAGGTATATCTTCTGTTTTTATAGGTCTGTGATTTAGATCAGCAATCCCTGAGGGTTCAGAGGGCCGTGGTAGCTGGGCTTCAGGTTTGCCTATCCCGAAGCAACGCACCTACAGCCCCTTGGTGCCCAGCGCGTGCGGCATGATGCACCCCAAGTTTTCATGCAAGTGAATGATCTATTCAGTTCATGCCTAGTCATTTTTAACAACGGAAACCAACTGGATAAAATTATATGGGTTTTGATTTGAAAATTCATAGCTGGGTTTCAGATTCCCCCGACATATTTGAAAACTAGTGACTAGTGCAGGCTTTTTTTTACTCTGGCTAATTATGATGACCTCACAACGATGTGACCATTTGGGTATGCAGGGGGACATACCAAAATAAGGCAGCCATTTCAGGATATTTTAGGTGAATTACAGAATTTGGGCCACATCCCAACTGCTAGCCGTGGATCTTACCAGCCACAGACTCATCCATGCCGGGGCTGGGTTTCGTCATCCCTCAGGTTGCGGGATGGTTTTCCATCATCAGACCATTTCTGCCTCCGATCATTTCGACCCATTTGGGTTTCCGTCGCCAAGGTCAGTGGCTCAACGGATGGATATGTATGGCATGCCGTCCTTCTCTCGCTCCAAGGTGCGGCAGGAAGCGAAATGGTTGATTTGTTGAAACACAGACGCACACACACACACATATATATATATATATAAACCCTATGACATCCTATGACTGGGATAATGGGATAATGTAAAATGATCTCCAGTCATGGTTGGTAAATGGGATGGTTTATTGCATTGGGTAAACACCACATTCAAGACATATCAGGACATGTCCGTTGGTCAGCTAGGGGCTGAAGGGAATCACTAGCTGAAGATGCATGGCCGCTCCTGCAAAATCTACCTGTCAACCAACCCCATCCCCCTGGCCATCGAAGCTCATTCGGTTGGATGACACAGAAAAACATGGCGGATGTTCCATTGCCAGCTTTGATCACCATCTCTTGGGCATGGGTACTCCAGCCCCTGTAAGGTTCAAGCCTCAACCCCAGCAATTTTTTGGGCCTAGGGGATCACAGAGCCAATAGGCTGGATCATTGAAATCCCCAAAGAACTAATCGCTGGGGCCCTTTACTCCCCATTCACGAGCTGAATCCTGATTGCTGAACGACTGAACCATATTCTGGTCGTTGGTCTCAAATGACTTTCATGTTCAATAATTGTTTGAACACTGTTTGATATATGATGACCCCCAATTCTCTATCATTCACTTTCATATTTTTGTGATGGGCGGTTAGATCAGCAAAATAAGCCATAAACCAATAACAGACATGTTTTTTCAACTATCCTGTCTTCTGTTCAACACCAGTTTCTGAACTAAATATCCTGGTGTTCTGGCTTGGTGGTAGCTGGATATCATTTGGATATACCCAGCAATAGCCCTACCTGACTATCCCTTCAGGTGGGTGATGCAATCGCCTGATGCCCAGTAACGGAGAAATCAAACCAGATGAGCCGCAAAATTGGTTGGAGGGCAAGATACTGGATTGAAATTGGTATTTGTCCCAAATTGGGATTTAAATGGATTTCGCCAATATAAGATGGAGATACAGCTACTTTGGATCGACCACAGTACATGACTGAGATATTTCTTCCATCAGACTATTCAACAATCAGCAAGACCAATGGAGATCACCGATGTCATCGGATGCTCTGGGTCACTATGGGTCAAAGAAAAAGACACAAAAAATGTGTCCTTGATTTTAGAACGACAGTATTACTGCACTCATCCATTCTTGGATGTTTTTTTTGGGTCCCGAGTTCGACTGACCCCGCCAAAGCTTCCAGGGAATCAAACCTGGCAGTGGAAAACCCGCATCTTTTTGACAAGACGTCGGCGTCAATCAAATGATATCAACGGGGTTTTCCCCATGTTTTTTTCTAGTTTAATAGCAGAAATACATAAATTGGCAGATACATTATATACATGATATGTATACATAATATATATATATATACATTATAGATATAACATATAATATATAATATATAATATATAATATATAATATATAATATATAATATAATATATATAATATAATATATATAATATATAATATATAATATATAATATATAATATATAATATATAATATATAATATATAATATATAATATACAATATACAATATACAATATATAATATACAATATACAATGTATATATATAATATATAATATATAATATATAATATACAATATATATATATATGTATTATGATATATATTATTATACAATATATACAATGTATACGTACATACAATATCTAACAATATGTTCCCAATTAGTAAGGACTCTCCATTTCGCTGGAGCTTTCCCCTTCAACCGCGAGGCCGTTTTCTGCCGAGGCCCGACAGAAGCTTCCCGTTCTCGGAGGACTTCGCCCCGAGGAACGCCTCGTCTTGGAGGCGATGGTCATGGTTTTGGATCCGAAACCAAGGATTTTAAGGCTTCTTATTGGATGATAGATGTGCGTTTTCAGTTTTTTTGGATATATATATATACGTATCTAATGTATATATATATATTTATGCTAGATATGTATGTTATATATATATACATACATAGATATGTAATGATTATATATATATATATTATGATACATGATTTATACATGATGATGCATGATGTATGTATGATGATGGATAAGATACTGTACATGATTTTGACTCCGGAGCTTTGGGGTGTTGGGTAATGGATCCGACCCCTGCGCAGGCAGATTCCCAAGGAAACCTGCTCTCCACCGACGCGCGCGTGGCGATGGTCGAAGGCACTGAAAACTAACATGGGACTCCTGCTTCCAAGGATTGGTTGGAAAAATGACTTTCGAAAAGAGGAGATTTTTGGAATTCCATGTTAGTTTCAGGAGTGTAGATGAAGGGAAAATCCATTTTCCCAAAGCCAGTGCAAATCATGAAGCTTGCATAAGTATGTGTTTTTTGAATCTTCCGTGTCTGGTTGCCCAGAAGAAGAACTGTAAGGAATACAGCCTGTGGGTCAGTCCACTACCTGGTGTCACTCATAATTTCCAATGGCACTGTCATGTTCTGTCTCTATGGCGAACCGCCATTGGTTCCAACGAAGCCCTAGGAGACTTTCAAACCAGCTCGCCCTGCAGGCTGGTTCATGCGACGGCTGATTGGAAGGCAGAAGTTCGAACAAGGCGTGGAAGCAGGATCGGGAGCCACCGTGAAACCCCGTGGCTAAGGATTGTGAAAATTGATGTGCAGAAAATGAAGATCAACCAGTGGATTTGGGGGTAGCCTATTTTCAAACAATTCCAAACTGATGTTGGCGTCAGATTACCATTGTACTGGAACCAGTGTGGGTATGAATCCATGAATGTGCGAATGCCTAGGATGGACTTAGTTTTCTTCCTCAATTGATGCGGTTCGTGGGTTTACTCTTGAACTATATCCAGCAAAGCCTCTAAAGTAAGTTTCATCTTGGATTCGCAGGATCTCATCCTGCCCTTAGAGTATCAAATGCAGAGTATAAATATGAACCCAGTGATACCCAGTGTTCATATCGCGTAGCTGGGGGTGCCATGGGTGATCCATCCCATGCCTGGCTTGAAACTTGCTGGCTGAGGTGAATCCTCGGTTACATCACCACCCATCCTCAGCAGGCGGGGGCTCCGACGGCGAATCTACATTTCATGGTGCTTCACAATATGCGCTGCAACATCATGACTTAATCCCTCCGCGTGTTTTCAGATATGGGTATGGATCATAACCTATTAGTATCAATTTTAATGGGATGAACATCCATTTACCAGCTATTTTGATGTTCACCAGGGGTACAAGGTTTACACTGCCATATGTTGGATCAAAAAGCAAGGACTGAATCTCGCATTCGAAAGTTTTGAGGGATCGACACCAATCAGTTTGCAAAGGCAGGAGATAGCGCCGAGGTGGGTATTCCATAGTTGGGCATCTTCCAAATACCTCAGGCCTTAGTTTATCCAGAGAGACATTTATATCATTTGTGACGGGTGGGTATTTTACGTAAAATGTAGGATCTTAATGGATCTTACTGATCTCACATATAATTTCAGTATCATTCAGTATCAGTAGATGCCAAAGTTGAGGTCTTCAAAAAAGTGTGTGTTCTGTGTCGCCTCAATGGAACGGCCCAATGGACAGGTTGTACCAAGTGATCTCGGATGGAACACTGTGGTTCGGCGCCGCCTCCAAAGTTGGGAAGCATGGAAGGGAGGGGGGTTCTGACCCGTATCAGATGGCCAAATTTTCCATAGACGCATGACGCATGCCTCTCTATTTTCACATATTTCCACATATTTTGACTCCTTTGTCAACTCCTCAGTAGGGTCGTGGGGTGATGTATCTACGAAGAATTTCCCCTGACCATGGATAGATTTTGGGTACGGGTCAAAAAAGAAGTCACAACCAAAGTTGGATGAATTGCCGCTGAAAGTGATCAACAACTTGCTGCTGCGCGACTTCTGGACTTCCAATATCCTCCAATCCTCAGCTTCGTCTTGTTAGTCTTGTTCCACTGTTCCAAAATGAATTTCATCCACCTTTGGGATTTGCCCAGCTTCCCCCTCTAGGCACCCTTTATCAACACCTCTTCAAAGTGTTCTTTGAATCTGAGAAACTATGGTGGATGACCATCGCTGAGGTGGCGATTACGCCTTTTCCGTTTCCCTACCACAACATTATCTCAGTCTTTCTGCTGCTCAGCTGCAAGCCTCATCGCTGATTCGATGTGAGTTTTTTTCTGATGCTGTGGAGAATCGTATTGTCCGGACATGATTGACATGATTGAGGATTCCATGCATGCGTGGAAGTGGTCACATACATATATATATATATGTACACAAATGTACTGTAGTATATTGTAGTATATACATGACATAAAGTAGCAACATTTTTCATTACGTTGCTTTACATGTTATTATACCAGAGCACATTGCACATTACGGTATATCACATTCCATTCCATTCCATTCCATGTCACTCCAATCCACTCCACTCCACTGCGCTCTATTACATTACATTGCAAGACAAAATTACATAGCATTACATTCGATTGCCTTACGTTACATTTGACACATCATTCGACTACCTTTGGTCAAGGTCACGTTGCCTTTTCACATGGTGAGCTTTGAACACGCTAAGTCTCCCAAGTCGGTGGCATGCCAGGTGGATGTACACCTTGATGGCACCCGTACTGATCAATGGTATCATCATGGACCGGGATTTCGGGAGTTTCCATGGGAGACATGGGAACGTCACGTTGTAGGACTGAAGAGAGACTTGTACTACCACCCAAATTGGATTGAGAGAAGTCTTTGTTTGATCTCTCATCAAACAATTAGGAGATACTAGTGACTCTCTGAGTGATTACTGGATGAAAATGGGGATAGAAACCCATACATAGTGGTTTTTGTCTTGTTCAGCCGTATAGAAAATAAGGAAAGACCCTCGCGGGATTTCAAGAACAATTTTGCCACTGCTCCACCAATGAGAATCTTGAAGTCCTTGTGATGGGTTTCTGCGTGGCCCAAGCACAGTCGGTCGTGAGTTTGTAGTTGGACAAGGCAACAATCAGTCGAGGGGCACAGCATTTCCACACATGTCTTGAAGGGGATGTTGATGTTGACGATCTCCACTTTTCACCACGACTACCAAGACTATTTTAATTCCAGCCTACGACTACCATTATATCTCATTGGGTCCACCCACTAGTGACCATGCCTTGCTTGTTCAGGACACCGCATTGCGGTCGGTCTTTGTTTTCACCTCGGTGTTTTGTTACCATGCCTTGCACCACATTGGTGACAACCTCGAGGACACATTCTTTGAGCAGTGGCTGCGTGAAGAACCCCTGATGATGCTGGCCTGGGGGTTGTAGTGTTATAAGTTATAACTATCCTTTACATATCATTTATATACATACAGTACAGTATATATATATATATATCTATACATATACATACTACCACTAGGCTTAAGTCGTATCAATCGACCTGAAGTCGTATCACACCTGCGTGCGCGCAGTGTTTCGTATAGATTTTGATAGTTCTTTATTTGATGGGTTATTTATTCGAACACTTTTTCATCGCTGTGCGCAATGTTTTGTTGACATGATTCTATTTGACCCTACTAGCCCTAGCGTTAAGTCGTATCAGCTCGTAGAAGTTGTATCGGGAGGCCGTGCGCCTGGAAAAAGTTCAAGTTTGGCATCACCACAACTTTTAGTAATTGGATGTAATTGGACGATTCCATTGTTTTGGGGCCGTGCGCCTAGAAAAAAAAATAATTTTTGTATTGCGTTGATTTATAAAACTTATATTATATTTCATTATTCTTTCAACGGGGCAAACGCTGGTTGCTGCTTTCTGCTTGCTTGCTGCTTGCTTGCTGCTCCTTGCTGCTGCCTCCTGCTGGTGCTGTTGCTGCTGCTGCTGCTGTTGCTGCTGCTGTTGCTGCTGCTGTTGCTGCTGCTGTTGCTGCTGCTGTTGCTGCTGCTGTTCCTGCTGCTGCTGTTGCTGCTGCTGCTGCTGCGGCTGCGGCTTCCTTCTGCTGCTGCTGCTGCCTCCTGCTGCTGCCTCCTGCTGCTGCCTCCTGCTGCTGCCTCCTGCTGCTGCCTCCTGCTGCTGCTGCTGCTGCCTCCTGCTGCTGCTTCCGCCTGCTGCTGGTGCTGCTTCCTCCTGCTGCTGCTGCTGCTGCCTCCTGCTGCTGCTGCTGCTCCCTCCTGCTGCTGCTGCTTCCTCCTCCTCCTGCTGCTGCTGCTTCCTCCTCCTCCTCCTGCTGCTGCTTCCTCCTGCTGCTGCTGCCGCTGGTGCAAACATTTTGCCGAAAAAGAAAATTACAGTCTCGGTCGCCTTGTTTGGCGCTGGCGGGAGATACGGGCGGGAGACGCCCGCAGAGAGAGGGAATGTTTACAGAAGGCAGAGCTTAAAAAACATTCAAACGGAAGCGAATGTTGACAGCGGTGTGCCACTGGGTTTTCAGATTTTAACGTTGTTGATATGATGATGTTGCCCATAGCTATTACATGGAAATCTATGTTTGTTAGGAAACAAAGTTAAAGATCTGGGAGGCCGTGTGCCATGGTGATTCCTAAATATATCCTTTGAAAACATAGTTTAAACATATGTGAATACCTCAGTGTGCGCAATGTTTTCTTCATTTTTGGAGATATAACAGCATTCCTTGAAAGCCGGTGTGCCATTGGGATTTTGATATTTTGATATGACTTTTGCCCAGTTGATGTGACTTTCTTCCAACTCGCTGTTACATGGGGTTGATGTGACTTCTGCCCAACTGATGTGACTTAAACCCTTCGCTAGTAATATATATATATATATGGAGGTTCCCTAAAATGGGGATACCCCAAACAAATCACCCAAACTTGTTTATAAATGGGAAACCCCCATGGTTGAAGGGGTAGCAATGTGATCTGCAGCGCCAGGATCCGTACTTACCATACGATCCCAACGAACTTCCATTGCCGGAATGCCTGGTGTCGCCATGGAGTCCATTGATCATTCATATATCCCTGTGAAAAGGACCATTTGGGGGTATAACCTTATTTTTTCAAATCAACCCAGGTGTTTGGATTTTTCGGACTCTGGATCATTGATCAAGAATTTTTCAGGGGTGGTGAAAGCACCAACCAGGTTGGAAACAGCGACGACAATCTGGTGTTTTCACATGAACCCAGTTGCATAAAATACTCAATCTTGGCCCAGCTTCGCCAAATTTTGTCTCCATTTCGTACACCATTTTTGAGCACTGAATGGGCCTAACGGGCCTCTAGGTCCGCACCGTGGCTACCAGAATCTTTGTATATCCTGTACTAGTATATCCTTAAATGATCTGAAATCGGCATTTTGTGGGGAACATGGATTCCAAACCACTGGGTCTTGGGGTGCCTTCTGATAAATTAGCCGTTTGCCATGGAACATTCCCCGTGAAAAGTAGATGATTTATGATGAATTACCAATGATTTCATGGCTCAGGCCTGACCTGCAGCACAGCGTGAACATGCGGCTGTGGGCGTTCGGAAGCTACAGTCGAATCCAATGGGAATTGAATGGAATTGATCAAGTTGATTCCCAGAACGTATGCAATTGATTGAAGCATATATACGTATATGTACAACCATATATATATACACACACATATACACACAATATGTTGAACCAATATCAATATCAGTGTATATATAAATATATATCAACGCATATATATATATGTATCAATATACATCTACGTATAGGTATCTGTATATGTATATATATATATACATCACTATTTATACATATCAATACCAGTGTGTATATATATACATATGATAGATATCAGTATGTATATATATATACACACCAATATACATATATGTATAGGTATCAGTGTGTATATATATATAGATATATCAATGTATGTATGTATGTATGTATGTATGTATGTATGTATATATATATATATATATTGTGAATTGCACTGCAATTACATGTCCATCATGAGATCACCATGCCACTTGCCCTGTGATGCCGTTGGCAACTCGCCGCCATACGCCGGGCCTTTTCAGTTGAGGTGGGCGGGTGAGGCAAACTTGAGCATTGGGTGGAAAAGGCTACTGTGGTTGGAACCGGGTTCCCAATTTGGGTAGGAATAGGCCCAACTGAATTCTCATTGGTAGCGGAGCTACGGCTGCCGCGGGGCTAAGGATCCCCTAAATTTAAGCTAGACTGGGTCTAACTTCAGTGCAAGTAATTTTGACAGCAACTCTTCCCAAATTGGTCATTTTGACCGCGTGAGCCATGAGTCAATCGCCGCAGAATCGCCCTGCGGAAGCAGCCCGGATCCAAAATGGGCAGGCAGGTCAATCCGCCAGCCTACCAGCGAGTCAACTTCCCTGGCATCAAATTCCAAGTTTTGACCCTCAGACGACTGACATCCAGGTGTACGCAAGGAAGCTTCAGTTTCTCAAGAGTATCTGGCCGAGTGAGCACATCTCACAGTTGGCACCACGTGCAGCTCTCCAGGTCGAAGGGGTGGCCTTCCAGAAGGTGGCTCGACTTGATGGCCATCGACTCCGAGGAGAAGATGGCGTGCAATTCCTTGTGGAAGCTCTGGGTGGTCAATGGGGAAAACTGGCCAGTGAAGAAAAGCTGGCACTCTTCGAAAAGGCCTTCTATCAGACCATACAGAAGGCAGACGAATCAAATGATTCGTATCTAGCTCGTCACGACGTGGCCTTTGAGGATCTGATGGCGCAGAAGGTTTCCATGGAGGAAGTCAGAGCCTATATCCTCCTGCGACAGTCTCAACTGTCCAGTGAAGATCGAAAGCGCATCATCATGGAGTCAAAAGGTGAGTTGGGCTATGATGAAGCTCGACGAGCTCTACGACTTCTTGGGGCGCGCTTCTTCCAGGAGTTGCAGGGAGTGTCAAAGAATGTCAAGACCAAAACCTATGACATCAATGCAACCGAGCAGGCGTCAGAAGAGACCGCCATGATCGCTGGCGAGGTGGAGGCCTTCGATGAAGAGACAGCTTTCCAGGCTTTGTACGAGAATGGTGATGAGGATGCAATCTTCATCAATGACTTTGAGGAGTCGCTGATTGAAACGGTGCAGGAGTCAGCTGAGCTAGCATCCTGCTTCACCACCTACTTGGAGGCCAGGACAAGGTTGAAAGAACGTGCCAGAGGTCGTGGATTCTGGCCCATGCAGCAGTTGGGAGCCAAAGGCAAAGGAAAGAAGGGAAAACAGGGGAAGGGAAAGACAAAATCCCTGGCAGATAGGATTGCATCATCAGCTTGCCGAAGATGCGGCCAATATGGTCACTGGAAACGAGAATGTCCATTGGGACAGAGCCGCGCTGAGCTGAAGCCCAAGAACCAGGCCGAGACGATCTCCATTGCCGAAGCTCTTCATCTTCAAGAAGATGAACTATCTACTGCCATGAACGAGATTCCCGAGCTGATCTTCGAGTTGCCCGAGGCTCACAGTGATCTAGGCCAGAAAGATCCAAAACATCTCAAAAGTTTTGACTTGAATTTGGGAAACACCATGTGTCATGAACATGCTCAATGCGGTGATGTTTTCTTTGGTGAAGTTGGCTGTGGACGACCCCAAGGGGATTTGGTAAAGTCAAGGGGTGTTGGTTCAGGGTCCTCAGTTTTGTGGCATGATCGGGGTTTCTCAAAGTTCCAAGTTTTGAATCCCAGAATGTTGCAGCAATGCTGTAGGAAACATGGACGTTTGACATCAAATTCTCCGACGGATGCAGCACCTGCCACGAAAGCTCTGGAGAGAAATCTCTCCGCCGAGCCGGATCCCTTTTCTCCGTATTCAGCCTTCGTGCTCAGTGAAGAAAATGCCGGAGAAGCGGTAATTGACACAGGGGCAAGTCGAACTGTGATTGGGGGTGAGAGGGTCTCAGATTTGATAGCTGCCATTTCATCGAGTCTTCAGACCCCTGTGAAGAAAGTACCCTCGGCAGTCAATTTCCGTTTTGGAAACAGCGGCACTCTTCAGAGCCAGTATGCACTTTGCATCCCAAGAAGGCAAAAAGGATGGATCCGAGTGGAGGTAGTGCCAGGTCGCACACCCTTTTTAGTCTCAAATTCTATTCTCAAAGAACTTGGAGTGTTGATCGATCCCAGGAATAAAGTTTTGAGATTTTTGGATAACCCCCAAACAATTTCCCTAAAGACATGCCGGAGAAACTTGCTGTGCGTAAGTGTTGTAGAGTTGCTGAATGTAGGAGACATGAACGCCACATCGCATGACATGGAAGAAATCTATCAACAAGACCTTGGGAAATGTGTTGGGGCGGTGAAAACAAGCTCAGACTGCCCACTTCAGGAATTCAAACAACAAAGGCATGATTTTCTTGTACAGGAACCGCTGCAAAACAAAAAAAGTTTTCATATCCACACTGTCATGTGTAGTGCTCAGACTGATTGGCCCTCCGTGATTTCAGTGACTTCCGACGCCCAAGATGGCCAGGAACACCAACACCTACCAGAGCAGCAGCAGTGCGTACCTGGAAGCACGTCTCTCAGGGGACGAGGATCCAGGCTTACAAATGCAGAAAACCTACATGAACTCTCCAAGCCAGACCTACAGCGTTCCGCCGGGCATTCAAAATCTCCAGCAGTGGGGCCAACTGGTGATTCCCTCAGGCAAAAACCAGGGGAAGAGCTTCAGCCATGTGTTCGAGATGGACAAGAATTATGTGTACCAAGTGCGCAACAGAAAGGCAGTCTCCTCGTGGCTGCGCAGCTTTCAGAACTACATGCGGGCCCGGGAGAAATACGAGCTGAGGTACCAGATTCCGATTCCTCCCATGATGGCACAATCTCTGGTATCACTGGAACAACAGGGAATCATCACAGTGCCGAAGGCCGTGGCCAAGGCAGCCCCAAAAGCTCGTGCCCAGCAGGAGAGCTCAGAGGTTTGGCATATGATCAACGATGTGGAGACCAAGCCGAAGGAGAAGGCAAAACGACCCAACGAGCAGACCAACACTGCCACCTGTTCGATGATGCCAATCGAGCCCAACCCCGATCGAGTGAGGGAATTGCAGACAAAGATTGCAGTGCTCCAAAGAGAGTTGGCCCGAGAAACTCAGGTGCCATCCGAAGAGGAGGAAAATCCACCTCTCAGCTGATTAGTGAAGATCAACTGCGGATGCTTCGACAACAAATGGATGTTCTTGTCAATGACATTGAAGGAAATCTTGAGCAAATGAAGAGAAAGCATCCCTCTATAGGTCGCCCTTCCACGAAGACGGAAAAACTCATTCAGAGTCGGCCTGTTGATCTTTTGGAGATTTACTGTGAATCAAATTCCCAATTGACCAATCAAGTGAATAGATTTGGGGGTTGTGCAATACGGTTTACAGTTCAGGATGGTGATTTACGGACCTCTGAAGGGATCAACAAACTCTGGACGTGGGTTCATCTCTATGAGCCAAAGAACATTTGGGTCGCACCAGAGTGTAAGTTTTGGGGTTCATTCTCAAGATTCAACATGGGTCGCAGCTATGCAAGTCAACAACGCATTCTTCAAGGTCGCCAAGATGATTGTGTTCATCTAGAATTGTGTAATCAATTATACCTTCACCAAGTAGCAGCAGGTCGCCACTTTCACTTGGAACAACCTATGGGTTCTGAAATGGTGAATCAACCCCAACTTGAAGATGTACACCTTGGGACCCTACCAGCTTTCTTCGACATGTGCCAAGCTGGGAAACTAAAAGCCCCAAATGTGGACAGATTCCTGAAGAAACGTACGCAAGTGTTGACCACAAGCAGGATTGTCCATCAACAACTCCACAATGTAAACTGTGCCAAGACACATGACCACCAACAAATTAAGGGGAATGTGAAAGACCCACAGCAAGGTTGGATAAAGTTATCTGCTTATGCTGCTGCTTATACTGCTGTGTTTGCCCGTCGAGTAGCAAAGGGGATGATGATGAGTGGGTATTGTCATGAGGATCCCTTGTTGTTGGAGGAGTTGTTGGTTGGGGAAGAAGTCTCCCAAAAAGGGGAAAAGCGACAAATGGCACAAGAAGTTTTAGAGCTGCGAAAAGTCCGTCGACGGTACGACACGAAAAGCCCACCTGTGCCTGGGGAACTTGAGCCTCACTCACCACAGTGGCAGGTTTTCTGGAAAGCTGTGTTTGTTGCTTTCGACAAGGAGGTACCCCGGGTTGGAAATGCTTATTTTCAAGCATCCGATCCACGGGTCCAAAAGATTCAACAACAGTTTCCACAGGTGGACATCAGATTCGTGCTAATGTGCAGGGGTACAGAAAAGTATCGAGTACCCAAACCAGAGATTGCCAGAGATGATATACCTTTGCGCAAGACACTGGTGGTGGACCGACAAACCGGGGAGATCAGAGATCTTGGGGATTTTGAAGAATGGCAGCTCCTCTCAAAGGCAAAACAAGTCAGGAAAGCTGAGCCAGCACGAATTTCCATGAGCGTTTTTGGAAGGCGACAGGTGATGGAGGGTTCTAGTGGTTCTAGAGTTTTTCCATCAATAGAGAGTGATGCGCCGATGGAATCCCAATTTCAAAGAGATCTCATGGTTCCAAGTTCAATGGATGACTCTGCAAAAACCCGAATTGATCGAAGTGGTGAACAGCAACTAGAGGAGTCTGTCAATGTTCCAATTTCTGGATGGCCCCCAAAGATTATTCCAGTTCATGGTCCAGCATTTAGGTCCCTCTCAGCAGAGCAGAGAGCTGATCTGAAGCGGTTGCATCAGAATCTGGGTCATCCAGATCCAGCCAGACTCCAAAGGTTACTCACCGACCAAGGTGCTGATCCAGCCGTCATTGCTGGTGCTTTAGATATGCAGTGCGATGTTTGCCTTGAAACCCTCAGGAAACCAAAGTTGTCGCATCCTTCGACTATTCATGGGGATCTTGATTTCAATGATGTTGTTGGGGCTGATGGCGTTTACTGGAAGTCAAAATTGGGGCAAACATATCACTTCATGCGCTTCATTGATGAAAGCACACTTTTCCATGTTGGGGCACCAAGTGGTAGAACGGTTGAAGAACAAATACGAACTTTCGAAGATACATGGCTTCATTGGGCAGGTCCGTGTAAAACACTTTATTTGGATCCCGCTGGAGAGTATGTGAACTCAAAATGGAATGACTATCTGCAGAAAGAAAATATCAAGGTTGTAATGGCAGCAGGTGATAGTCATTGGCAAATTGGCCGGACTGAGATTCATGGCCGTATCATCAAAGACATGCTCACCAGAATGGATCAAGAAGTTCCAGTGCGAGATGCTGAGGACTTTAAAAGATGCCTCCGCCAGGCGTTTTCAGCAAAGAACTCACTGTCTCGTGCAAGTGGTTTTACACCTGAGCAAGCTTTGCTTGGGAAAGCTCGAGCCCTTCCAGCATCCCTGACTTCGGACGACAGCACTGGAGCACACTTGCTTGCAGAAAGTTCCACTACTGAGGGCCTGATGTTTCGTGAGAGCCTGCAGCGTAGGGAACAGGCCCGAAAGGCCTTTATACAGGCTGACAATGATAGCTCATGCAGGCGTGCTTTGTTGCGGCGTAGTCGTCCGGGGTCAATTGAATTTGAAACAGGTGATTGGGTGCTTTACTGGAAACGTGCAAGAGGGAACCTCCGACACGAAAGAGGTCGTTGGTATGGTCCGGCACAAGTGATTACTGTTGAAAGAAGTAAAGTCATCTGGTTGTGCCATGGAGGATACCTCATCCGTGCAAGTCCACAACATCTTCGACCTGCATCCATGAGGGAGTACATGACTTTGCCTAGGAATGCATCTGGGGAGGTCAAAAACGAAGAGATATCCTCTCGGGCACGGAACTTTGTTGATTTAGAAGAAATGCCGACCGAAGAAGACCAGGAATATGAACCCTCAATTGCACCAACACCACCACTGGAAATAGACAGCGAACAACCTGAAGATGAAGCTTCTCCCCCAGAAAGTCTTATGGATGAGGGCAACCCCGAAATGGATGAGAGGGAGAGTCCACTAGTACCAGGGGATCTAGGTGGTCTATCAATTCCGGTTCCCATGGATGATGATGATGATGACATGGAGGGGACTGATGATGGTTTGGCGGTTTTCGGGGATGATTGCCAATCACCACTTTTAGATTCTGGGGTATGGGAAGTATCTTTTCAAGAGTCTTTCGATCTGTCAACGGACACCGACGTGACAGATGGCCAATTAGCTGAGTGCATTTTAATTGCTACAGCTGCCAAAAAGCAACGGGTTGAGGTCAAATGGCGAAATCTCAGTGATTCTGACAAAAGTTTGTTTGCCCAGGCGAAGAACAAGGAGGTCAGTGCCTGGATTAGTCATGGTACAGTCAAAAAACTGGCAAAGGGGACCTTTCCAGAAAACAGAATCATGAGATGCCGTTGGATCTTAACTTGGAAGGATCCATTGCCTGGCACTTCCGAAAAAAGAGCCAAAGCCAGGCTGGTAATCCTGGGTTTTGAAGACCCTGACATTTCAAGTGTCCCAAATGATGCTCCAACTCTGAGCAAGGATGGAAAACAGCTGTTGCTTCAAAAGGTTGCCAGCTCAAAATGGCGTTTGCTCAATTTTGATGTCTCCACTGCCTTTTTGAAGGGTGCAGGGGACGGCCGTACCTTAGGCATACATGCCCCACCAGAGATTGCAGCGGCTTTGAAGCTCAAAGGAGATGAACAATGCGGTCTGGTAGGGGGTGCCTATGGCAGAATAGATGCACCGTACCTTTGGTACCAGTCCTTCCGACAAACTCTGGAAGAACTGGGTTTCCTTACATGCCCATTGGATGGATGTGTTTTCACGCTGGTCACAAAATCCACCTCTGGAAAGCCAAGGGTACATGGAGTTTTGGGAATCCATGTCGACGATGGGATTGGGGGTGGTGATGATTTCTTCATGGAAACCATTGGTCGTCTGAGGGATAAGTACTCTTTTGGGGCATTCAATATTGGGGAGTTTGACTTTTGTGGAATACACTATAGTCAGTGGAGGGATGGCAGTATTGAAATGAGTCAGAGGAAGTACATAGAGAGGATCGAACCAATCCAAATTGATCGACATCGGAGAAAAGAAGTCCAATCCCCTGTAACCGAGGTGGAAAGGCAATGCCTTAGACAGTTGTGTGGTTCTCTACAGTATGCAGCGGTACAGACCCGACCTGACATCAGTGCCAAGGTTGGAATTTTGCAATCCATGATACCCAAGGCTTGTATAGAAGACCTTTTGGAGGCCAACAGGGTCCTTTTTGAGGCCAAGAAGAATCCAGTAAATTTGGTCATAGTTCCCATCGAGGAGAGCAAAGTTTCCTTTTGTGCCTTTTCTGATGCTTCTTTTGAGACAAAGAAGGGTGTTGCTTCAAGACAGGGAACAATTATTTTCACTACGGATTCAAACATGGCCCAGAATCAACTGTCTGTGATTTGTCCGATTGCATGGTCCAGCAGGAAAATACCTCGAGTGGTGCGCAGCACTTTAAGTGCTGAAGCATCAGCTTTAAGCGGGTCTTTAGACCGTCTCAGCTGGCTCAGAATCTTGTGGGCATGGCTGCTGGATCCAAGCATCAACTGGACTGACCCGACAGAAGTTTTGAGTTCTTGTCCTTTGGCCTCCATAGCAACCGACTGCAAATCCGTATATGATTTATCTACTAAGACTTCAACACCAGTGTGTGAGGAATTCCGGACAACCTTGGAGTGCTTACTCATTCGAGAGAGATTAACGGAAAATTGCAGGTTGCGTTGGGTATGCAGTCAAGCAATGTTGGCCGACTGTTTAACCAAGGCAATGGACAGCGGTACACTTCGTAGGGCAATTGCTTTGGGAAAATACTCCTTGTTTGATGAACTTGATATATTGAAACAAAGGGCTGACAAGAAAGAAAGACTGCGTTGGCTATCAGAACAAGAATCTAGGATCACTAGCAAAGGCATGGATCTCATGACAAACATGACAACAGAAAGTTCAAAAATTTAGAGATTTTTAGGAGTGTGAATTGCACTGCAATTACATGTCCATCATGAGATCACCATGCCACTTGCCCTGTGATGCCGTTGGCAACTCGCCGCCATACGCCGGGCCTTTTCAGTTGAGGTGGGCGGGTGAGGCAAACTTGAGCATTGGGTGGAAAAGGCTACTGTGGTTGGAACCGGGTTCCCAATTTGGGTAGGAATAGGCCCAACTGAATTCTCAATATATATATATCTGTATATCTATGAATATACACATATATAGCGACCCCCAAACAGTGGTTGAGGTTTGAACAGTTAAGGACACCTTTAACTTCTGGTGAAATCATCATCCATGCCACCCTGGAAAGGCATTTCTATCTTTTTGAGTGTCAGTATAGTTGAGTGATAGTGTCAACTTTCCATTAATGGTATGGGCTTATGTCGAATTCCGATTGACTTGGACATCAACCCATCACTTTACATCTACTGCTTACTGAGGTTCTCAATGGCCTGAAAATGGTAAATCATCCAACTATCCACCGGAATCTGATGGTTCCCAGCAGTTGTTCTAATCTGCAGTCGATTGATGGTTGGAAAAGCCCTCATGAACGAATCCAGAAGAAGCGCATGGTGCAATGCGTTGCGGAAATGACCTTTGAACATTGACCTGAAATTGGAAAAATTGCGAAAAATGGCTGTGATGAAATGTGCAGGAAACATCAGGACACTTCATACAATCCACAATGGATGGTGATGGGTGATGGTCACGTGGTTTCCTGTAGCCTGTTCAACAAGCCAGTCAGGTGGCCGAAGGGGCCTTGGATCAATGGGTTTAGTATGGTTTACCTCAGCCAACGAGGCATATAAAAAACCTGGTCCCTGGTTAATCCCTTCCCCATCTTCACCGGTTCATATTAACACCCCCCAGAAAACATGGTGACTCTCATCTTTGGGATCATCTCTCAGGTTTGGCGTTGTGCCAGCCCCTGAAGCGGGGCCCAAGGGCGAGAAGGGTGAGAATCAGAAGGTGGGGCTTGGGTGCAACGCGATTGAGCCAAAACAGACCCCAAAGCACTCTTCCTAGTTTTTCACTTTTCACCAAACTCTTCATTTACACATAAACCTATTTTGTGTCCAAATCTCTTGTAAGTTTGAATTTTTAACACCATGCTTCATCACTCTTTGATCCTTGACTCCATGGCACTTCCAGACATTTTGCTCTAATGTTTTTCCGGCCCGAACAACTTCAAACCACCACCCCAAATATCCGCTTGAATAGGCTTACCACAGTCATGGGGCCCTGCTCGGTACCTACAAAAATCACAATCACCTTTGTCTCACCGAAAAAACATGTCAATTCACCAGGAAAAGTTCTGAACCAATAAACATCTTCGGTCGCAGGGGCCATCACTGGCCACCATGATTGGTTCTATTCCATTCCTAATTCTTGTTGGTCCAATGTTCATACTATCACGCAGCCACGTCGTAGAGAACAAACCCCTGATTGGCTTAGGGTGTAATTACTATATGGGAATCGCTCAAGTTACCCCAACAATGGATTCTGAAATACAAAAAAACATGTGGGTCCATAAAGGCACCACATTTCTGTACCATAGCCATATCATTATTCACAGGTTATCCATCAAACATTTCTCATCGTCACGACCAGGATGTGAAGGCAGAATGACCAGGAGCCGAGGGGCAGGGCCATTAGCCGATGACCATGGGTGAATGCACCAAAGAAAAAGGAGACACTGCTAACAACAAATGGGTTAAAGGGGTTACGGTTATGGAGGACTTGTGAACTATCAACAACCACCTTTTTGTTCAGGATTCAATCAGTTTGGATTCAACTAAACCCAGCCGGGAACCCCCCCAAAAAGGTTTATCAATGGCTTATGAACCCGAAAACCACCAAGGGCTAATCCTAACCATCTATGTTGGGCGGGGTCACCTGGCTGAGGGGTTGAATCTCAATGAACTTATAGTGAGCTCTTTGGCATCACGGAAAATCATGGCAGGAGCAGCGGCTGCGATCGACCCCTGTTGGTGAATTAAACAAGTTCGGGGATTGTAGTGGCCTTCACATATTTGGGATTAACATCATCATCCTGACGCCGCAATCCCTATGAGCCAACGAGTATAATGTGTCAGCTCAGGAGACCTCCACCAAGTGGATCTCGTTTGACAACCGGAACAGCTGGGAGATCCAACGATGCAATTGAGATTTCTGGGGAAACTGGATGAATACATATATGTGTACTTTAGTACAACTTAAATCTTTTACTATGAATGGGGCACTATGCTACTCAGCAAAGCCTCGTTTTTTTGCACGGTGTCCAAGATTGGTCATCATTTGTCAATACAGCACGGATTTAACTAGAAAGCTGGGTCTTTCACCACCACCATCACTTTTTTTGGTGAACAAGACAGTCACGCAAATCTTTCCACTAAAAATCTGATCACATCGGGGGTCGACTGTTCGTAAAACAACTTGCATCCTATTGCGGCTTGGTTCTGGGATCCCCATATAATGGTTTATCATCATCTTGATTGAACCAGCTATCCGAAGCCTCAGCTAGCGGGTCAACTAGCTGCTATCATTTGGGCAGAAACTTGGTTTTTCAAAGATCCACCTTTCTGTTGAAATTGTAGAACCCTGGCAGTTGGGGGTAACAAATCTCAAAACCTAGTATGAGATGCGTGAGCAGAAGCAAGTCCTGTCTCTTCTTTTTAGTTCCACTTCCCACTTTGAACTTTGGGATGTTCATTTCCCCCATGAAAAACTGCAACAGTACCATGTTGGTTTCTAGCTGGGCAGACTCAGCGTGCTGCCCTGGGCCATGAATCTGCAGCGCTGGTCAGCTTGGGGATCTGCAGCTCTTGGGCGACGTGTATTTTACGACCTCACCACAGGTGATTAGTTACAGGAACCTCCCCGATCATAAACTATACAGATACAAACAGCATGTCAGTTCATGGTTGGTCTCTGCTGTTTTACCGAATCCTTTTCATCCCACAGACACTCAATATTTTGATCATTTCAGCTTTGTAGATGATTTATTCAAAGTTTCCCTCCAAATTCTTGGATTCAGACCACAGATGAAAGCATTCCAGCACCGCAGCCGGGTACCTGGGCAGCGCGCACGATGTGTGTTTCACCATGGTCACTATCCAGAGACCGACAGAACGCCAGATTCTGCACGAGAAAAGAGTCCCCAGGCCTCATGGATTTGTCTGAATAAGGGGAATTTATGGAAGTTTTAATGGGACGTATGATGATTCACCAAGGGATTTTGAGGATATACTGCTTCAGACAAACGCAAATTTATTGGTGTATCTTTATTATGGACTCACAAAATTGGTAATCTTTAGATACTTCTAATATCAAACCATCCGTTCTGAAGGCGGGACAACTCAGTGGGCCCCCACAACCCCAGAAAACTGAGTTACTGCGGGGGATCTGTGAGTGTACACCCTAAAATTGACACTCGTACGTGGTCGTGAGATGTCTTGAGAAGGCATTTGGTGCAAGCGATAGCAACAGAGGGAAGAACATCGTATGTTCCTTACATACTTGGTGGTTCTCCCCAGTTGGTAAACCTGAGCTATAGCTGGACTCTACTGACCCACTTTTAAGCGGGGTTACAACCCATTTACTAACTGGGGTTAAGCACCATCAACGTCATCGTATGTCCGCTACATATCACCGGTTCAATCATCCGGGGATGTTCTATGCAGGTGCGATGCTGTGAGTTGGCGAAGTGATGTGGCTGCAAACCCACGATACGAATCCGTGGCGAAACACCCCCCAAAAAGGAACTCTTTGAAATTCACCAAAATCATCCAAAATCGTGCTTTTGGCTTTGTCTTACCGGGAACCAGTGGTGTAGGATCCTTGGTTTTGGACACATCCGTTGCACGGAAGCCAGAGGGGAGCTCCTCTGCATGGGCAGCGCTGCCACAGTGGGAAAAAGCTGCCTACCAAAACTGCTGTCCGGGACATTCCCCCAAAAGCTTCCTGGGAGGTCTGGGTTCGTTTGTGCACGTTTCTGCACGTCAGACGTGTTCATTTGTGCACGTTGAGTCGTTGTGTTTTGTCTCGCCTATGTCTTGCCCCAGTCTCGCCAGAGTCATCTCGCCAGAGTCTTGCCGTAGAAGGAGGCATTTCCCCTGTCCTAGAAGCCTGGCCACCACCAACCACCATGCAACCCCACCCCAAGACTGAAAGAGTCTCGCGAGTCACGAGCAAGGTGTATGGCTTGGTTGCAGGTCTGTGGAGGCTATGTTGAAAAGATGTTGAAAAGAGAACCATTTCATGAAAGACTTGGAAAGAGGCGCCGACTACGAGAGAAGAGTTCATTTGGCCCGTAGGATTGCAAGAATAAGATACATCATAAGACTAATAAGATACAAAAGCGACCCAGGGAGGAGTCGAACCTCCACATTCCGTGCTTGTCAAGCATGTGCGCACCCCAGAGGGGCTGACAGCTCGCAAAGACGACGCCTTATCCAGATGGCAACTGGGTCCTTACCACCTGAAAATTAAGCTCTTTCCGTCATACAATCGGAGGTGCAGCCCAGGGAAAGTTGATGATCCAAAACTCTAAACAGATGCACTTTTGATGTCACTGTCAGCATGTAGAGTGAGGACAGCCGGAATGCAGTCAATATTGCCTGAAGCCCTACCTTCCTTGCCCGATCCCCTCAACCCGGCTGATGCCTTAGCCCAGACATGCAAGGACTTGGGTCTCGCCCACCACCCCGTAAATCACCACCAAACAAACCCCACCCCCACCCCAACACCTTACATGAAGGTGCAGCACCCCCCCAACCAGCAACGCTTCTAAGAGTCCCCTCTATTCACTATAGGCTTCAGTGTGCGCAGATGAGTTGGTCAACACAGCCACAGGGGTCTGGGGCAATATTTTAGCCCTGGGGACAAAAGCAAAAATAGAGAGATTTTCAGTCATCCAATTTTCATGAGGGGCTTCACTTCCTCATTTACCTCAGGGATCATCCTGGTGATGCAAAACGACAGCCGGAGTTGGTGGACGAGATGACCCTCATTTATGGCTTAGGTGTGTCTGTAAAATGAGTCCCTTAAAATGGCAACACATGTAAGGAAGATGAAAATGACCCATTGGATCTTGGTACCATGTTTTATTGGGGGATGGGCATGCTGCTTGGAATCCCATTCATGATGGTGGGAGGACCATACCCCATTGGTCCCACGTAACTTGACCATGGCCAAAAGATAGATTATACAACCATATTGGGGGGTTGTCATAAAAACCTTCAAAGGGATTTATATACCCATTGTATCCCATTGTAAGGACCCCTGGCATGGGATGGATGAGCATAAACCATGAATCCCATGTTTAAACCCTGTTGATGATCAATGACTATTATCCCAATCAAATACTCTCTCTTGTTGAAGGTTAACTTTCATTGTTCTCCCATGTTTTGGCATCTAAAAACTTCAGGCTGGGTCAGGAATGGTCAGGATGGTCTGAAGCCTTTGGGTTCGAATCCCGAGCCGATCGTCTTGTCGCACCCTGGATCCTCTCTACTGCACCTTTCGTCGCAGTGGGTGAGATGGTTGGTAGTTGACTCATCATTTTAAGGGTCTATATGGGATTTCCATAAATGGTGGTACCCCAACATGGATGGCTTATTATCGAAAATCCAATTACAATGGATGATTTGGGGGTATCTCCATTTCAGGAAACCTCCATGTGTGTGTGCATGAACATTTTTGGTATACCTGTATACCCCGAAATGGCCAGTCTCCAGTCGGGGCGATGGTGGGATCGAAGCCTCCAGAATCAGAAACAGATATTTTTTTGGTCTCCAAAAGTCGGAGCTTCACCACATATGGTGGTGTCACAAGTGGTTGATGCCCCCAGAAGGTGATGTTTGAAGAGGACCAGGAAATCTGTTGTGGGAGAAGTGTTGCAACCTCAAACACGCTGGTGAATATAGATTTAATGGGATTTCATTGATATGATTTAATGGGCTTTAATGGAGATTTAATGGGATTTAATAGGATTTAATGGATTTAATTAATGGAGATTTAATGGGATTTAATGGAGATTTAATGGGATTTAATGGAGATTTAATGGGATTTAATGGAGATTTAGTGAGATTTAATAGGATTTAGTGGATTTAATTAATGGAGATTTAATGGGATTTAATGGGATTTAATGGGATTTAATGGAGATTTAAGGAAATTTAATAGGATTTAATGGATTTAATTAATGGAGATTTAATGATATTTAATAGGATTTAATGGATTTAATTAATGGAGATATAATAGGCTTTAATTGGATATTGATCGAAGGAAGTTTAGAAGTCAAACTTCCGACAATATGGACAGATGAAAAGCAGAGCAGGGAAGAGGCAGAGAGAAGAGAAAGATTAGAAGAAAGAAGAGTAGAAGAGAAAGAGTAAGAAGAAAGAAGATGCAGATGCGCGAAAAGGTAGGAAAAGTCGCGAAACACTGTGTTTTTCCAATGATTTGGGGCTCCGGAGGGTCGAAAAGTAGGCTCGCTAAAGCGGCGGGTGCGGAGCCAGCTGGCCAGATGAGAGATGAAAATTGCACGCCCGTAGTGGCGCGAAGCACATTTCGAAGTCGAAATGTACAAAACACCTCAGCTCCGGACCACTTTTGGAAGTTGCGATGTCGAAAAAGTGCACGCCGTTGTGGCGCGAAGCACATTTCCAAGTCAAAATGTACAACACACACCAGTGTCGGACCACTTTTGGAAGTTGCGATGTCGAAAAAGTGCACGCCGTTGTGGCGCGAAGCACATTTCCAAGTCAAAATGTACAAAGCACACCAGTGTCGGACCACTTTTGGAAGTTGCGATGTCGAAAAAGTGCACGCCGTTGTGGCGCGAAGCACATTTCCAAGTCAAAATGTACAAAACACACAATTCTCGGACCACTTTTGGAAGTTCAGATGTCGAAAAAGTGCACGCCGTTGTGGCGCGAAGCACATTTCCAAGTCAAAATGTACAAAACACCACATGTTCGCGCCACTTTTGGAGGTTCAGATGTCGCTTCGCTTCACTACACTACACTACATTACACTACACTACATTACACTCAATGACACTGCACCACAGATAGACAGGTAGACAGATAGACAGATAGATAGACAGACAGGTAGACAGCTAGACAGATAGACAGATGAAAGAGAGAGAGAGAGAGAGATAGATAGATAGATAGATAGATAGATAGATAGATAGATAGATAGGTACATAGGTAGATAGGTAGATAGGTAGATAGGTAGATAGGTAATGAGATGAAAGAGAGAAAGAGAGAGATAGATAGATCAATAGATAGATAGATAGATTAGATAGATAGATAGATAGATAGATAGATAGATAGATAGATAGATAGATAGATAGATAGATAGATAGATAGATAGATTAGATAGATAGATAGATTAGATAGATTAGATAGATTAGATAGATAGATAGATAGATAGATAGATAGATAGATAGATAGATACATAGAAGATAGGCTGGTAGGTAAGTAGATAGTGAGAGAAAGAGAGAGAAAGAGAGGAGACCTCAAGCACCTTTCGGTCCATCAGTGGATTCGCTCTGCCATCCCTGATTCACAACAGCCAATCTCTCCTATAGGTTCCTATTTTTGAAACTTCCGCCACCGCCTTGTGCGGTACTACTGGTATAACTAACCAACGACCTGAGATTTGCGTGTGTCTGAAACCCTAATATACCCACCAAATGGCGATTTTAATTCGGGATGATGATTAACCAATGGATTTAGGGGTACCCTATTTCTAAACAAAAGCCATATTGAGAAACAATGTAACATGTTTAACATGGCCTTTGAATCAGGTCTTTGATTCATACAATACATGTGGATTGAGGGTGATGCCCATCTTCAAGACATTGGAAGGGATTTTTGGTTCTGGGGCTAGCAAGCCGGTTTGCTTGCTGGTTGCATCCGAAGCTTTGAGTTTGTTGGTTCTATCCTGATTTTGGCTGCTTCTTGCGTTTTCCCCGTTTTGGTTGTTTTCTTTTAAGTTTTGTTGTTCTTCTCGATTTTGTTGCTTTAAGCAACTTTTCTTGGTCAAAATACATCACAGTTTGATTTGTTCCCAACAGCAGTGACTGCTGGGTTTCACACTCTGGGTCTGGGAGTTCGATTCTTGCAGCTCCCAAAAACCGGAGCGGAACTGCAAAGCTGGAACCTTGGAACCTGCTGTTGGGTTGCAAAGCTGGCGTAATTTTGCAAACACTTTGATGATGTTTGGATATGTTTGTACACTATAGTGTTCTACAAACATTTGTGCTCTTTTGTCCCTCCAAATATATATTCATTGTTGCGTCTGCACTGTGAATACTGTGCCTGGTGTTGTCTGAAAAGAGTGTTCCGTCCCAAAATCCAATGGTGAATCACCATTTCCCCTATTAACATTGCCACAATTTGGGGGTAAATCTGCCATGCCCATCCCAAATTGTTGGTGAATTCTTCCCTCTCTCTCTATATATCATAAGATGTCCCACAACATATCCCCATGATCTGGTATGCTTGGAACTGAGGCAGACACGATGCCAGTTGATGAGAAAGCTACGCAGAGTAGCCACCTCGGCGTTGGACGGGAAGTTTCCACCAGAGATCTCTTTTTGCGGGCCATGTACAGTAGATTCCTAGATATGTATGTATACGTATATATGTATAAATATGTGTATATATATATGTATATACAAATGTATATATGTGTATATATACATATAGTGCGTCTTCTTGGCATTCCCGTAAAACTCAGGTACAGGACCGGAAACCGGTGCGTCATTGCACACATCACCCTGAACCCTAGACTAGAACCCGAATCAAACCCAAAATCAACAACCGTAAGCCCTAAACCTAAAAAAAGGGAAATTTGTGGGAAAACCTTGAAACCAAAACACATCAACCGTAAAACCCTGATCCTAAAACCCGAAAACCTTAGAAATCTGAAAGTGATGTTATGCGACGTGGGGTAACATTAGGTCACATATAATCTATAGACCTTTGTATTTGGGCAACCTTTGCAAAACGAGTCCGTCATTCAAATATGATGTTAGTAAAGGGAAAAATCCCAGTGATGGTTTGTTCCAGGTTTGATATGTACATCATTGTCCCAGACTTACATCATGCATGGATCTGCACGTATGTATCTATGTATACATCAATATATACACTTGGATTTACTTTCCAGTTACTATCCACTTAGTAACTAATGTATAACGCATACAATCATACTGTTCCCATACGCGGTTTTTCACGTCGAGTGACCACACGAATCTGAGGCCGCTCGCTGTTGATGTGCTGCGTGCCTTGGCGATGGAGGTTTGTTGGGGTTACCTTTTGGTAATATAGCATTACTGGTAATCAACAATTGTTTAGTGGTATATTCTGGTAAATTCATGGTAATGATTTGTTACCTTCAATAGTGAATCAACTGATTATTACTACATGGTAATTATTTTGTTGATGACTATTAGTATACCCATGAATGTACCCATTCATGGATAATCAAACATAGTTTATTACATATACCAATGGCATCCCATGGCTATTTAATGATTAATGCAATATCCCCACTAATCACCATCTGGTTATTTAACGTGGCGAACTGAACAATCTTGAGCCCTGTTGGTTTTGAGATGGGATTGCAGTGACATGTTTCATTGGGGAAATTGTGTAAGAATGATTGCCCAGGGGTTTTGGCCATGGCTCAAATGGAGATGTCAAAATTGTGGGGCGCCCAGCTCCACCAACACGGGGTATATCTATACGAAGATTGGCAGCTAGGTAGAAACTGTAGGTTTAGGATACCTAACTTTTCTCACATTCTTGGACATCCTGAAATGTAACCACTGACAAGTAGGAAGGATCCCCCAAAATGGCCATACTGAACTGGGAAGTCGTCCGTTACAGTATTTGCTGTTTAGTCAGCTCTGGCCTGAGGGGAAGGATGTTCCAGTATTTCACGGCCTTATGAACCAGAGACATTCGGGCATTTGCAGCAGGAAAGCATTTTGGGTGTAGCACAGTAACCCCAAATTTTGGTGACTTCTTCCCCTTTGTTGGCATTTTTGAGACCATTTTTGTTGGTTGATTCCCGTTTTCAGAATTTTTTGGTAGCATGGCAGTCGCCCAGGAGACCCCTGAACCTGTGGAAGAAGAACTGAGATTGATCCAGAGCATCTTCGGCTGAACGGATTGCTCTAATGGACTAGGCGATTTGCTTCAAGTTTGCATTCTCTTGCGAAGGAAACCCACATTGCACAGTTTGAGACTTTTTTTTTGTTCCTTTAGTACCCCTTTGACGGTTATATATTGGTTCTGCCTTGTTTGAGGCCAGGTTGGGTTTCTGCATGTTTGAAGCCGACTTGCCCCAACAGACATTCCTCTTGGGTCCACAGATCAGGTGCTGCGCAACCAGAAGTTGGAATCCCATGGCATCCCTAGTCATTTGACCCATCATTATCCCATCATTCTTAGCCCTTGGGCCTAGCATGAAACTATCCCGTTCGCGCCTGCCCAGCCAAAGCCAAAAGAACGGTGAAATATGCCAACCACAACAAAGTCTTCATGGGTCATTTGGCCCTGGTTTCTTGGTGAAGGGCGGGGATGGGGTACTTTTTTTTGGCCCCCGAAGTGATGGCTGAGAATTTGAAGGCATGGATCGTTTGCTGCTTAAGATAGATGTAGGGTACATAAGAGGTATGGAAAGGTGATGCGCACCCTCGGTGCACCGCTCTTGTCACAGTTTCAGGATTTGTTTCACCAGATTGCCTTCGCGATTGCCACTTGCCACGATTTTTGAAAGATAGCCATCTCAATTTCCTCTAAGAGCTGTAGCTATTGTAACATATTGTAACTATATAGTACATCCTCAAATTGTCCGTGACCAACCCTCGACCACCTCAGTATTGCTTTCAACCCTGTGGTCAGTATAACTAGATATATATTTTTAAGGAATCTAGATCTGTGAGTTCCCATCGAGAATATGGCAAAGATTTGGGTAACGGTAAGTGTCTAACAAATCACCCCAAATCATGATCAAACGATGCCCCATCCCCTGACCTCCGCCCCGTGCTTGCCCTGATCTTGGATGGCAAGCAGGAGATAGAAATCACAAGTGATTCATTTTACTACGCTTCACCGAAACGCACTTACAACTGGACGCTAAAATACGGTCAGCAAAAAAATCTGTATCCACGTACATATATATGTCTCTATATATATATAGAATAACAGATACATAGCAGCAGCAGCAGCAACAACAACAACAACAACAACAAGAAGAACAAGAACAAAAACAACAAGACTAATAACTACAAAGATAGTATATAACAATAACGATATCAACAACATTCATACAATAAGACTTTTTTCCCCCCGAACACCCCAAAAATCATACCATGTGAGTCCGGAAATTCCAGCCGACAGGCTTTGAGTACCGCCACGCTGATGGTGATCTTTGGAATGCCTTTGTTTTCCTCTCACCTCCGTCAGCTGGTCTTCGGCCTTTTGGCAAAAAACGGGTGCCATAACGACCCGGACCTGTGCGAGTTCGACCTGGGGGATACGAACAAAATCGAAGGGATGGCCAATTTATATCACCTTATGGGGGGTTAAAAGGATGACAATGGATGACACTATGGGATGGGGAGGTTTTTGGGAGGCAAAAGATGCCATCCACTGAGCAAAAAACTACCCAATTTGTGCTGAGTAAGATTAAGCCGCATCAGACTTGTGGTCACTTCAGTTTCCTGCATTTAGGTGTTTTTTTCACCCTCTCATATTGAAACGATTACACTTATATATGTTTTCAACACTCCAAAATGGATCAAAATGGATGGTTCAAGGTTCCAAGAATGACAAGAAACTGGGGGTGACATGAAGGCACCTCAACGACTCAACCCAGGGCTACTCAAGATGAGCCATCTCTTCCAGAGGATCCAAGTGATAAGCCCTCAGCACCCATGACCCATAGTGCACTGGATTTGATTGATGATGTTTCCAGAATAATGAGGGTGAAGATTCTCCAAGCATCAGATCGATGCAACATGATATTATATACAGAATATAGTTGGCATTTGTTTGTAGCCATTTCAGGGCCATTTGCCCCTCCATTTTGTAACACACAGAAGGTTTCAGAGGACCTGTTGCTTGGTTGAAAGCCACCAAGCATATGAAGGACAAGGGTTGGTGAATGGAGCGGTTGGGAGCGGGTTGTGAATCTCCACAAAATTGGGCCCTGCCCCCGTTTTGGTGGGTTTCTATTTAGAACCCATTTAGAAACCCGTCCAGCAACAGATATATATATATATATATTAGATATATCCACCATAAATCCATTCGCATAGTCATCTCAAGAAAGTTACCTGGAGTCTTGTTGATCGTCCAATTTTATTCCATGGGCAGGTAAACACAACATTTTCTTACTGCTGCTTAGCAGGGAATGAGGGAATGATCCATAATCACTAGTAATGATCATCCCATTCCCCCATTCCCATCCATTCGCGCCCTGCTAAGCACCAGTCAGTTTTGATGTGTGAAACGGTCCCAACTGTCCATTCCGGTGGATCTCAGGTTCCCATCTGTGTGCAGACACATATCGTGGCTTCTACCTGACGAATGGCCATCCGAACGATGCTGAAAAGTGGGAGAAGGTGGACCAAATCGGGCGACCAAACCACTGGGGTTACTGAGGGGTGTCATGTTCTCTACTATTGTGGGATGTATAATACTATGTATATATGATTATATATGTATATATGTATATACACATTCTACTGTGTGTTATATGTAAAACATATAATATTGTCGTGTATGTTTTCTTATAAACACATCATTATGCAAAATACAATGTATTTTACGCATATTCACATATATGTCATATATATTATATATACATACACACACACAACTCGAATCGGCGGAGAAAACTGCGAACCTCTAAGATGATTTTAGGGATCACCACAGTACGTGCGGCTGAGAAATGGCCTTATGGTTTTATGCCTGCAACTGACAGAAATATCATTATTTTTCCCAGGTTCTACTAGTAGCAATGGATTGAGATTTAGTGGTCGTTCTACCTTTAAAAAAAGCAAGCGAAGAGGGGAAAACCGAAACCCTTGGAAGATGATTTTCTTGTTGAACATGGAATGATCTTTTGATTCCACTGATGATTGAGCTTTGCGAAATTGCAAGAACCAATGTAGGAATACTTCAGGAAAACTAGCCCATGTGGATATCATCTTGTAAGTAGATGATGGAACTCTTTCATATATCAAAGGAGGTCCCAAGGATTGCTCGATGATTATTCGCCGGTGTCATCAAAGTATCTGGACATCCCTGAACTAAATGGGCGTTCCAGCTGGAGAAAATCATCGAACTATAGCTGGATAAAAACTTCCAGCAAGCCGTGGAGCCAATTACCAAGTGGGGTATGACCTTCACAAAAACTGACCCAAGTGGGATAAAATGTCAAAACGCCCCCAGGGCCATTTATAACCTCACTGCGGATGTTTTTGGCTCGCCATGAGCCAAAGCTCTGGGCCCACAGGTCGACATTTTCAATGGATATGTACTCTGAGGATCAAGCTACTTCACAAACTGAAATACCATACCGCTTAAATACGCGGTGTGGTACCATTCTGATCGATTCATTTTAGGGGCCAATGTTGGGGACATTCAATATTTAAATTTGATGATCCAAGTGTTTAATCAATTTAAACACATGGGTGAACTCCCCATCAAATTCCTATTGCTGAGTACTGTAAATCTATTGAATCCCAGCTCAACTATGGGCCCATCCCCGCGAGCCGCGGCTTGTCACTGCAGGTGAAAGCCTTCTCGGACCTGACGGCCGGGAACTCGGATGTTTTGTTTCTATCTTTTACGGGACCGCTGTGTGTATATATACTGTATATATATAATATATGATATAATATGTATTTGTATACGTATACGCCTACATATACGTATATACATATATACGTACATACGTATATGTATATGGTCACCAGTGCTCTATGTGTATATATGTTTCATGTGTATACACAAATGATTTCGCACATACATACATACATACATACCTACATACATGCATAGGTACATAGATGCATAGATGCATAGATGCATAGATGCATAGATGCATAGATGCATAGATGCATAGATACATAGATACATAGATACACAGATACACATATATATGTATATAGATACATAGATACATAGATACATAGATACATAGAGACAAAGAGACATAGAGACATAGAGACATAGAGACATAGATACATAGATACATACCATAACATAACATACCATAACATACCATAACATAACATACCATACCATGCCATACCATGCCATACCATACCATGCCATACCATGCCATACCATGCCATACCATACCATGCCATACCATGCCATACCATGCCATGCCATACCATGCCATACCATACCACACCATACCATACCACACCATACCATACCATACCATACCACACCATACCACACCATACCACACCATACCACACCATACCACACCATACCATACCATACCACACCATACCACACCATACCACACCATACCACACCATACCACACCATACCATACCATACATACCCATACATACGTACGTACGTACATACACACATACATACACACATACACACATACACACACACACACATATATATATATACACATACATATGTACACATACATGCAGATAGATATACCCACTCAACGTCATTCAACAATATGCAAACATCAAGTATACCACAGTCTCTGTTGAAGTGTGTCGGATCCCACATTACGCATGTCGAGTTGTCCCAGAAATCCTGAGATTTGGTCATCCGTACCATGCCATCCCATCCCATATATAGCTACGTAATCCTACGTACAGACCTAAATACACACATATACATTAGATCATTTTTACATTACATCATTACATTACATGATATTACAAGGTATTATATTATATCATATTATATATAATTATATATAATTATATATAATTATACACATATATATATACATATATATATTATTAAATTACATTATTTTACTATTTTGTTTTTCATTACATTACATTACATTGTAGCATGACATTGCATTGCATTACATACATATACATTCATACACCTACATCCACGAACATGAAGATAAATGTGTCCTTGAGAATTTCCTGTGTTTTGAGCTAATTTTTGTGGAAGTGAACGCAATCGCACCACTCCTGGCATTTTCCCTGTGCCTTTTGAAATCCAGAGTCTGAGCGTATTTTCCCAGGACACGAGTGTCAATACTTGGGACAAGAAACGTAAAGAAACGTAAATACTTGGGACGTGTCTGTCATTTGAGGGATCCTCTTTGCGTCAAGAACGTTGATGCCGAATTTTCTTCGAGGCGGAACAAGTCGAGGACCTCGTTGATTGTGGTTTCATTCCAGGAACCTACAAAGGCTACTGGCCCAACGTGTGCCTTGGCGCCAGAGAATTTGCCAGGAGAACTTCTGGCGCGTTTCTGGATGGGTCCCAGTGATATGCTGATTTATTTCGAGGGGAACATCGACTTTCGAAGCGATGCAGATTTGGGGTATCCGATTTTCAGACAAACCAAACAAATGATGTCAACCCTGGATTAATAAACTACTGTAATATGACTGCTAATTTCGGGGGGTGCCCCTAAAACAATGATGAATTATTATTGCAAAACACTTGGAGATTTATTATGATTTATTACTGTAATCCTGGGTTAATCATGTGCCCTTCTCCAAAGAATGGGATGATTAGGCTCAAAATTGAAGGATCCTCTTCATGATATTTTTCAGGGCAGGTTTCAACATGTTCAAACCATCAACCCAACTAACATCAACCCCGGATTGATAACGGCTCTTTGATTCATTACACGAAGTGAATCAAGTCGCACCGACTCCCCTTCAATGTAATGATTAGGGGGTCTGACTTTACAGGGAAGTCGCTCCAAGGTGGGTAGAAGCACTCACAGGAAATCATCGGCATTCCATGGGCGCAACATGTTTGTTTGAACATGGTGGAGTGCGGAGTTCAATGCTGGGAATTGTGTCCGGTGCGATGTTGGTGTGACTTCATCTGTTTCCTGTAGGGAGCCATCCCGAAAAAGTGATACTGTATATAATTTTCTACAAAAATGGCACCCCCAGTGAACAACCAAGGGGTAAATGAACAGGTGGGGTTCGACATTATCACCATATTTTCTTGGTTCAATATTTATCATATCTCAATTCCTGGGCGTTAAATTTTATAGTCGGAATTATTGCAATTTGCTCAGATACATAGGTATTATATAGTGAAATTATTAATGGGTACGGGTCAAAATTGTTGATTCCCCAAATGGATATTTTAATGCCCAAAATGAACAATGTTGCAGGTTCATTGGCACCTCCATGACTTAACCCATCGATGTTGAATTTCTCTGGCCTCAGGTGCCAGTTTTGCTTCTTCAGCTTGCTGACCAACACTGGAAAGACGGTCATGACCTTAGCGGACAGGTTGGGGCGTCCAAATTTTCATAGGATACAGAAGAAAGGGAAAGAAGCCGTGGGTGCTTCTCAGGGTTCGGCGGTTTAAGAATCGGCCAGAATCTACCAAAGTGAATCACCGTACTAGATTCTAGATCCTATCTAAAGTATTGGCATTTTATCATATTTTATCTGGGGAAGATATATTTGCCCCGCTTGAAGCTGGCCGCAGGAAATGAATCGATAAAGAAGCCATCCTCGGTTTGCCTCGACCTGTTCATAGTCTTGTGAGCACCACAAACGCCAGCCTTGCCTCAGTAATAGTGTGAGATAGCTTGGGCAGATTGGATGGATCTACCACCAATTTTTTGGTACAGTGACATGCCTCATAGGACTGCACCACTATAAGATAGGTCCCAATCAAAACCCCCATCGTTTCAGCCTTTTGAGCAGGTGATACTCTCTGAATTATGTATGTGTCAAAATCTGATTCACATTTACCCAAAGAAACCGATTTGAACTGGTTCACTAGATGGTTTCTCATCCCATTCTGGGGTCCCTACGGCAGACATTCTGATCCTTCTGATCCATCATCCCCCCAGCGCATTGCGGGACGTCAGGTGCAAACAACCCTACAGGGCTTGATTGGCACCTTCATCGCTACTGTGAACGTTTGGGTGCTCTATGAGCCACTGGGAATTGCACGGGATACGGAGGGGAATTTTGCCAGGTGTTGACCTTGTGAGCTGGGCTGCAGCCCTTTGGGAGCACAATTTGGATCTTCGCAGTTGGTAATTAGTAGGCCATCAGGGTGAAATCCACTTGCCCCATGGGAAATAAGTTCCCAACTATGGTTTCTGTCCACGGACAGTTATCCAAGAGCATAATTGTCCAGGTTCATCCCCGAGTTGTATAGGCTACACCCATTGCGACTGTCAATCCACTTTGGGTTTGAGGGTTCCCAAGTTCTCAGTTTCAACTGTGCAAGCCATAAATTTGAATTGCTTGTTTCAGGGGTTTCAGTGGCAATCATCAGATAGCCCTAAGGAAGAGAACACTTTCGTTGGCCAGCACACAGGGAAACCCCCACCTGATGCTGGACCCATGAGTCATGCCCCGAAGAGGCACTGGTTCAAGGGAACAAACTCTGCCAAGAACGACCCATCTGGTACTATTCTCAATGATGATATGGATTTGTCTGTAAATATGGTATTCCGAAATCCACTGATTAATCATTGTCCCTATCAAAACATGACTATTTTGGGGGTATATGGTATATCATGGTATATCCCATCTTCAGACACACTCATATATCCGGAAGCCTATTAATGTTCCTTATTTTGAAGGTCTTGACCCATGGGGAGTTGATCCCAGGATCTTTCCCAGTGGCTGCTTGATGGTTTGTCCAGATGGCATGGACAAGTGCGATGCTTCCGAGATGGCGCGGGCCAGGGAGTTGGAAATGTTGGGAATCCAGCCGGAAGGCTTCCAGTGGGGTTCTCAACCAGCAAACAAAGTGGATTTAACCAGCCAAGAATGCCAAGACTTATAGAATTTGCAAAGATAGGGCCACACTACACGTTGGATGGAATATTCCAAAAAAGTCTTACAGGCTCACCTCGACCCTCAAAAAACTCATAGGAAACTCATAGAAATTACAAAGATACCCACGTTGGAGTATACTCAAACAGTCTGTGTAAATTGATGGTCTTGTAGCGGATCCCAGTCCAGCAGTCCAGGTCTACAAGGATCCCAACTACATCCCCGCCATTGCATGGATTGAAGCGCCTTTGTTTGCTTTGCTACTTGGACTCGTTTGGGAAGCCCCGCCCGTCTTTTGGGGACGGTACGGTACGGTTGGTGACCGCACATTTGTCAATGCAGGAATGGCTCGGGAATGGCTGGTTTTGGGTTGATCTTGAGCTGCATGGTTGGAGGGAAAAAGCCAGACATATCTCGCTCCACTTTGTTGAGGATGTCTCAGGTAAGCCAAGGATGATCCAGCTGAAGGCTGAACCATGGATTCTGATGGGTAATGTATGTGGGGCTCAGTTGATTCACGGTTCATGATGTTATGAGGTTACCATATTTTGAGGGACGAGCATCCATAAATCCCAGCTATTTTGGTCTTGAGGTTCTGGATCCTGAGCAAAGCACCTGTGAACATGGTGATGTTCCTGGTCTCCTATCACGTCTCTCAGAAATAAATGGAGCGGCGTAGGGCTCATGGGGGGCACACCAGTTGGAGGAAGATCAGAGTTTTCACTTGCACCGCTTAGATTGCAAGGTGCAAAGAAATTTGAGCTTGGCTAAAAATGGGAATATCCCTTGAGATTGGCATTTTCATGAGGGGAATGATGACAAACCATGTCGTAGCAGCGTTAATGTCCTCAACAAGCGTGGCTTTCTCCAAGTCAGATGAGACTGAAAAATTGGGGAAACGGTGGATGCGTAGCTTAATTCTTTAATTTGCTAAAGACAGGGATACATGTACTAACCAGCCAAACATTTCATATTCCCATGACGATCGCTTTGAACTGATGGGTTCGTAGATGGGCACAGGATTGCCAGGGCTTAATTTGTTGGGACATATCCATGCTGCATGAATTTACAAGAACTTGGATTCCAACACTCGTAAGTACTGGTGGTTAAAAAAGGTGCTTACAAGTTGCTTGATGCTGTGGTCACCCTTGCAATTGGGTTACACACAGGCCAGGAATATCGGATAGCGGTCTCAAATAATTAGTACGCACCCTTAGCTGCGCCTTACAAGCTACAAGTGGGGTGGTTGTCACAGCTGTTCGCATACCTGTTGGTGCTGGAGTTGGTTGCCCAGCAACAATGGCTATGGAAGCTACCATAACCTACCTATTTCTAGATGTTTTACATTGCCACATATGTTTCCGTTGGGAGCGTCCCATTTCCGTGTCCCATTTTTTTGGTGCCACAGTCCTCATGGCATCACATTAAAAATAAATTTCCCCATGACTAGGAAGCCCCATGACTATCAACTGTCACTTATTCAGTTAATCCCTTGCCAGCCATGGGGATGTCCCCTGGGATGCCCGGCAGGTTTTCTTCATGTCCAACTTTTTGAATCCCTCATTCACTGGGCTGAGACTCGGACACAGCGGACTCAGAACGGTTCTGGAACAAATGATGCGGACTAGACTTTAGATGTGTTTTTTGTCTCCCAATGGCTAATATGTCCTGTGTTTTCTTCAGGAAATACCGCAATTCATTTGCTCACACCAACAGTGGAGTTCCTATTTTGGAATTATGACGATTCGAACACACTAAAGATCAAGTGGTTCAGCAGCCAGAAATACTGGTGAATCAAGAATGAGTGGGGGATTGCAGCAAATGAAATAGGGATTTCGGCCGCAGAGGTTACTTGGCATGGAACCAAACAAAAAGTAGGGATTCAATCAGCGATACTATGTAGGGATTGAACCTGAAATGAACACGGGGATTTTTTCAGAGGCAATGAAAACTAAGTAAACTAACAAACACTGGGGGCTTCAGCTGGTTTTTTTTTCGCCTTTTTTTTTCTATGTTTTTTTGCGATGGGACTTTTTATCGAGATTCCAGCGGACAGCGTCAGGGGTGGCACCATCCCTATGGGCTTCCTGGATCTCTACTGGGATTCCCAGTGTCGTGGTCGAATGGACGCGGGGCACCTGGGGCACCATGGGGCACCTGGGGGACGATGATGTGTTGCTGGTAACTGGTAATACCGTGACACGGGGAGCTTGGCCATTTTGAAGGTCATTTAGAGTCTTTTTCGTATCATGTTTTTTGTCTCCTAAGTGGATACTTCAAGAACTTTTATTATATCCACATTAGCCATGGGCCATATCCAATGGCACAATGGGGTACCCAATTTTTCAAGATGTTTGATACGAAAGCCATGGTCTAGTTTGATTTAGGGAACTTCGCCATTACTGCAGGCACATGTTACTAAAGCCGATTTTCCAAACGGCTTTCAGGTTGAGGTAGTCCCCTACAGCAAGAGACTCTTGCAGCTTTGCCTCACCCACCGTTTCTGCAAATCCCTTGTTGGATTTTTCCAGACTTTCGACATCTTTGACCAAACATGATTGAAAGTCACTTTGCCTTCAACTGAAGATTTTTGATAAAAGATGATAAAAGAGTCAGCGGCTGCTAACTGTGGTTCTGCATACAGCAAGTGAAGTGAACGATCATGAATTATACTTATATTTTGGTGAAATCCCTAGCTTTCAGAACCCCAGTTAAAGAATGATGATTTTCGGCAACCCCCAAAATTTGATGGTGTTTATCATCGCTTCCCCTAGTAAAATATGTAAAACTTGCAATTTACACTGTTACAATGGCCATCATTAGGGGTAAGGACGAACCCAGTTTCCCACAGCAAGCAAGGACGACCATCATCAATCTCACGAGTCTGCTGGGTGGTTTCTTAGCCATCCTCGCGACACTGATCCCGAAGCCTCTGCTAAACACCAAGCCCTTTGGCCGAGAATGGCGTGGCGCAGGTGGCTGACCTTCAAGAACCAAAAATGCCGGAGATTTTTTTAATAGGTTTAAGCAGTTGATACAGTAGATACTTCTAATGAACTGATGGTTGATCCATGGTTGATTTACGATTCTCATTGATTTTCAACAACGATCTCCGCCCGGCGGCTGAGGGCGTTGCAAGAGAACGCCATCATTGCTGTGCAGGGTATGACGAATGCCTGGGACGATGCTCGCCAAACGACGGCAAACGACGCCGCGTGAATGATGGGAATCAGCGGTTCTCCATGGATAAGTTTAAGTTTAATGGGACTTAACCACCAACAATAGGGATTTAGTGGATTCAATTGACTTAATGATCAATGGATAGTTTAGTACAACTTCATCTTTTGCGACATTCTTATGGGGATGCGACGAATAGTAACATGTAGTAACCGGCTGAAAACATGGAAACTGCGAGGTATCCAAATTTGGACATGTCAGGAGAAAAATGCGGGTACTCCTGGATGTTCAACCCTCAGAAAGACAGGCATGTTACCAATGTTTGACTAATCTATACTAATCTCTTTTTGTCAAGAGTATTTGCCAAGGTCATTGGGTAAAGCCAGACTTCCACACGTGTTTTTTTTTCTATTTTTTTCTTGTATTGCAGTATGAACATGATCCAAGCAATCAGCAGGCGACCCTAGCAATGAACCATTTGGATGTGGGCCGCAATTTTCTTTCGACCCAAGGACATACAGTCTGCCGAATTCTTCCGGGTTCTGTAGCACGACAGTATTCCATGAATCACTTGGGGATCTGAGAAATGTGCGGACACATTCTTAAACGCGACATCAACGTGACGTTTTTCAGGAGGTTTTTTTTCATCCCCAGAAAAAAAAAAAAACCGACATTTCGTCCCCGCGGGTCCGAGGATTCCATCAACTACTTCTGCGGCGAGAGCCAAAGCGCCATGAGGCGCGCGGATCAGAGCGGCGTAGCGACTGGATGGGTCCAGCCAAAGGGGGAGAGATGGTGAAGCTTGATAGGAACATATAAGAACTTCGATCCGGTGATTTTTATGATATTTCATGATATATCCAATCGGCCAAAATGCAGGGTCTCTAAATGTATCTACGATGGGTCATGAAATGAGATCTTAAATCCAAGTGAGTATCCCTCATAGAAAGAATGATTGGGTAGGGGTTAATGCTGGTATTTTCTAATATTTTCTATATAAAAACCCGTTTTTGACAATAGACTGGACGCAGTTTTTGAATCTGATGATTTTTTGAAGAACTGGGAGGTCACAGGATCTCGGATCTCTGGGTGCCTGACCGGCAGGCACTCCATTGGCTCAAAGATGGACGCCATCAAAGGAGCCTTCGATCGTACCGAGGAGACGTCATGAGCTGATCATGCTGATCCACTGGAAAATCCACTGGTAACATATTTTCGATCCCCCAGAAAAGTATAGAAAAGTAAGAAGCCATGAAAGGGGTGATCCACTGGTGAATTACTGTTCTATCTTTTGGGGGATTGCATATCGGATTACTGTATATATAGGGTACTCGTATATTTTTGGCGATTTTGATGGGACAATTGACTAATTCATGCTACTGACACTTGAAAATTCATGGTATCTAGTAATCTAGTAGGACCTAGGATTAGCAATTTTTTGGAGACGCCTGATGCACAGGAGTTAAATGAACTTTTCCACACATATTTGCTCTGTTTGGCTGGCACATGTGCCAACATTTTAAGCATGTTTTTCGTAGAAATGGCGACAAATCTACCAGTCACATTGGTTTGTGATCGTGCCTCTTCTTGTTTGCCGCGGTCTCCGGAAAAATCAGGCAGTTCTCCGCAGCAAAGCCTTCCCAAACTTGAGGGCTGAAAGCCTTGTGTAATCGAGTGGCAAAAAGGGAAAACACTTGATAGGAAACCATGTCTTTTTCTGACATGAAATTGAGCGGTTTCCTGCAACATTTCCCTTCATCCACTTGGGAGACACTGGAAATGACGAATTCCGCTTCCAAACTTGGCCTCCCATGCACCGACTTCTCCAGATCGGGGGTCAATCATGGACCCATGTGGTGCGTATGGGCCCCAACTACTTCCAAACTGGGTCCCATGACCCCAAGAGACTCCAATCGGCAAAGTCACACTTCTGGGTGGAGTTTTAATTACTCCCCATCAAATTATGTGGCTGCAATCAGTGTATCCTAAAATGATTTTTGGCTTAAACTGATAAGAAACGTTTGGAGTGCTTTGTAAAGCATAAGCTTCAAGATGTTCTTTCTCTGCGGATCTCAAAAAGGAGGAAATGTCATATTATGTGCAAAACATATCAACAATCAACATTTTGCATATGTTTGCCGGGGATCTGAGATTTGCCATGATGTCTTCGTTGAATACATGTCCCTTTCTCGCTACAAGTGGGTCCCGCGCCAGGACAGCATCAATGGAGCGTGGTTTGAACACTTCGACGTGGCCCACTGGGGAGTCTCAGCAGCGCCCCAGGAATGACCCAGGAATGACCCATGATCCACCATAGGGTTGCCAACAAAAACCATGTTTTTTGCCATGGTCGAAACATGGGTCAATTTCCGAGAAGTTCGGGGATGGTCATCAAAGTCATTCCTACGGGTTTATATATATATATAAATAAATAGATAAATGAATAGATAAATGAATAAATGAACAACAAATAAATAAATAAACTATATATTTAGCCGCGGTAAAGATTGCACAATAGCGGTTGGCGGACCATCCTCTATAATATAACATGTTTTTCCCATGGGGCATATGTATACCATGGGTTTCCAGTTTCCCGATTAAACAGTGATGATTTAGTACAAGTTCATCTTTGGCGAAACAGCTGAGATTGGCCACAATCAATGGTGGTATGAAGTGATGGGATGGCCCAAGATCTGGGAATGTGTTTGGATGATTTTGCATCAAATCACACTGAAATGGGCAGATCCATCCTGGATAAACCAAAAACATGCAGTTCGGAATGGGTGCTTTGAGCCTCGCCATCTCTTCATTCAAGTTTTATTGTTTAGCGGGAATGGCTGGGAACCTTTTCCGAGAATTGGGAACATTCCTCAGTTCTAAGGCCTCCTTTCTTCTGGCCTCGCCGCAGGTGGCATAATCATCTATAAATGAGGCTTTCTGAAGTCATGGGGGATCCCCAAGTCACCATGGTTGTTTTAATACAAAAGTGGTCCAATGACTGGATGATTCCGAGCTTCCCCCTTTTTGGGAAACCTCCACATGTAATTCGCCCATGTCTCTACACGTGGCTCAGATTTCCGCTGACAGTCACAGAAGGCACAGACTCCATTGAAGGAGTACTGACCAATATATCAAAGTCAAAGTGATGATGATGATGATGATGATTATGATGATTATTAATTATTATTAATTATTATTTTTATTGTCAAAAGGGGTGATGATTTAGGGGGACCTTAGATAATCTTAAATACATTTTTTGGTACCCCCTTCCCTTTTTCAAATGTATATGTGGTCGCTGAACGGCCCCCCCAGGTGTCGTTTGTTGGGGAGGGTCTAAAAAATACCTAGAACATTCAAGCTTACAGCTTTAAGCCCCCTCCTCAAAAACACCTTGAACCATGTATCTTACATTTGGATCTGGTCCTCCCCCTCAAAGGGTAGTGATATTATCATTATTCATCATTATTCATCATGATCATCCTCATCCTCCTCCTGCTCCTCCTCCTCTTCCTCCTCCTCCTCTTCCTCCTCCTCATCATCAGCATCATCATAATGATAATCATCATCATACTACTAATAGTAATAATCATCACAATCACCAGTTCTACCTATTATTGAAATTTAAAGATTGCTATAGGTTACTATTACCATTATGCCACTATACTATTATCATCTATTACCATCTATTACCATCCATTGCCGTCATTTATAGCTTACTATTACCATCATACCACTATTGTGATTATTACCATCATCTATTAACAGTGTGATTATCATTATACTATTATCATCTATTACCATCATATATCATAATACTATTATCATAACAGTTGCAATTGTTATTATTATTAGCATCTATTATTATCATTATCATCTATTACCATCTATTATCATCTATTACCATTGCAATTGTGATATCTGAGTATTTTACCATCGTCTGAGGAGTGGCTCGACAGCTCTTCCGCCTCTTTGTGGAGGCGCCTTTTGCGCCTTTTGTGGGACGACTGAACGGACACCGCGAATGTTCGTAGGATGCAATGGGACTTAATGTGATTTAGTAGGATTTAATGGGAATATCATGGGAATATCCTGGGAATATCATTGGAATATCATGGGAATATCATGAGAGATAATGGGATTTACCCTCTGGTAAACCAACAGTTTGCGAACTGGAAAATCAAGATTTTATAGCTAGGTTACTTTGCAAACCCAGCACTTATATAATGAGTTCCGTTCCAGAAATCAGGGATCTGTTTTTTTTTTGCTTCTTCGGCTCATCAAGAAAATTCTTCGGCTACATTAATATAACTCGTATTATAGAGTGTATATATATATAATATTATATATATATGTAGATCAACAAGATCCGCAAGGTCAACAAACCATCTGCGATTTCGAATGATCATCCCATTCTTGGGATGATCCCAAGAAAGGCTGTCGGTCGACCGTCGACTCAGGAGGGGCGCAATATGAACCAAGTGCTCCAAATCTCCAAGACGGCAATGGTGCTGCGGAAGGGAACTGGGATCATCATGAGGGTCCATGGTGATCTTTTGTGGGGGTTGGTTGGGGGTCTTCGTGATTTTGTAGGGCTAAGACTATGTTGGAATAGACAGTATATGAATACGTTATAAATTATAATGATTTACAATGAAAAAAATCCTAATTGTTCCAAATCACAGGAAAATGTATCAACTCCTTTTGCAGCCTCAAAGTCAGTGACGGCCTCAGGCCTCACAATTTGTTGGGTGATCTTCCTCATTTAACATGATGATGTCGCCCCCCAGAAAGATCGAAGACTCAAATACGATTTGCTTATATCAAAGTCTTGGGGGTTACAATTTTACATACTATAACATACTATAACATACTATAACCATCATTTTACACCATTTTACATCATTAAAAACCCCTGGTTTCCAGGTCCTCAGATCCTCCAGTCGTCCCAGTCGTCGCTTCCAGGTGCGTGAGGACTTCCAAGGCCAACACGTGACATTTGCTCGCGGCATTCGAGATGTGGCTGGGCACCGGGGGCACCGGGGGCACGGCACGGCACGAAAACCCCAGAAATGAAAGTTGTCTTTGCTGAAAGTAAGCTCGGGGAATCCCGGAAATGAATGGAGATTTTGATATATTACATTATATTAAATTATGTTATATTGCATTATATTGTATTATATTATGTTTTATAGTACATTATGTTATATCATATTCTATTATATATTTCTATGTTCTATTATATATTATTATATTATATTATAATATGTATATATATATATTATATATACACATATATATATATATATTATACACATATATATATATATATCATACACACATATATATATATCATACATATACATATATATATATATACACATACATAGATACCCCAGGCCGGGGGTGCCGCCCAGAGGTTTATCATGTCACCGACTCTTTAGGGTTTGTTTAGGGCCTGGTTTGCTTCGGGTTTGTTTAGGGTTTATCTAGGGTTTCATTTAGGGGTTTTTAGGGTTTCTACCACGGTTTTAATGAGCTTTTACTTTCAAGGCTTACTTAGGGTTTCATGTCAGATTTAAGTTTTAGGGTGTAGGGTTTTAGAAACAAATCTCGTCAGCCATTCGGCCATTCGGCCGACATCCCAAAATGCAAAAAACATTGGCCTTGCGCAGTCAAAACGCACTTCCCCGGGCAGCACCCCCGTCCTGATATATATATATATAGACATACACATACACACACATACACAAGTTTTTGATACTTTTTGAACATTATCCAGGTAACAATGGAAACTTTTTGGAACATACCCTCTGGTAAATAAACATAGACCCTGAAAATCACTAACTTTTAATGGAAACTAGTCTTCCAACCCCTATCTGCCAGGGTCTATGTTTATTTACCAGAGGGTAATCCAAGTATTAGTTTTCCAATGACGATGCAAGATGTTGGGACTCTGTTTTCGGACGGTTTTTAGTGTCACCTCGGCTCCCGTTTTCGCCATGTTCTCTCCTTGGAGCCTCACATGAAGCAACATAAATGGATAGAAATGGGAGATCAACCAACCAAGAGCCACAGAAGTTGGGATCTTAGGAAACGCAATGTTGGGTTTAAGCGACAGGCATGATATGTATATATATATAATATCATATAGTATCTATATAAACCAACAAAGATTGGGACGTGTGCAAATTCAAATGGGAGATTCAGCAACGCTCGTGTCCCCGGTCAACATCTAATGCCATGAAACCATTCAACCAATGATACACAGAGGATCCCAGAGGTTATCGGTCAGAAATGAGTGGTCTGAGTTGATGAGTTTCAGCCCAAACTCGGATTTGAAAAAATCAATTTTCCTGCTAACATTGCATTTTTTTTGGTATACTTGTGCCCATTTTCCAGGCAAAACCATGCCACAAATACCAATGGAACATGACACACACGCACACACACACACTTGACATATCCCATATATTCTTGACATCCCTAAAACTCCCCATTTTTGCTCCTGAATCCTGTGATGGAGATGCTGGTGAACATCTCCTTGGTGTTCCTATTGTTGCTGTCCCGTCCAATTTTCCATTGCCGCAGGATGGTTCATGTCCTCATAATGTTCATGTTTCCTATTTTCACATGTTGTTTGGTTGAGAAAAAGGGTTTTCTGTTGCTAAAACTACCATTTTAGTTGTTCATATCACTTACATGTCTTGTTTTTGGAATGCCAAGCCAACCTCTTTCTATTTATATTCAAATTCTTGTTGGCTGAGACCCTGGTGATTTGTCTACCAATTGTTGTTGGGTCGTATCCCAAAATTTTGTTGATTAAAATTTGCTTAAATCCCCATAGTTTGTTCAAACATCGCCGATTTTTTGGGTTGGCCAATCACTTGGATGATGACTGAGGGTTCCCCATTCCAGGAACCCCCCAAACAACATTTTCGGATATTTCTTGGTGTCAAAAATCCACATTTCTGTTGGTGAAATCTCAATTTCAGTTTTTCAAGTCAACATTTTGGTTGGTCGAACACCCTTATATATATATATTTATACACCATCACTTACTCAACCATCCCTCTATATTTCAATATATATATAGTCTATGAATAAGTAACACAACTCTCATTTTTGGCATGATGATCACTGGCAGAACCAAAAAATTTTTCGTACAATGGTTCACATCCTCATTATTCTCACATAGAAATTGTTCGCGTTTCCTATTTTCACATGTTGTTTGGTTGATCATATCCGGTGGACATCGCATCCCGCCCAGGACATGAAGCGTTGCAACGATGCCACCACGACGCTCTTCACCCATTGCTGCAAGTGCTGCGTGGACGGTCAGCTGGACAAACAGGTGCGCGGGCCGCGGTGACGACGGAGATGGTGATGTAAATGTGATGATATATGTACATATATATATATATATGCACTATGTATATATACGTATACATATATATATATATGTATATATGTGTGCATATATACACAGATATGTGATATGATATATAATGATACAAGTAACATACTTATGTATAGACTTGTATGCAATGTGTCTTGTTTGCTTTCCCCTTGTTTCACATTGCCTAGACTAGTGTTTGATTTTTTTTGGAGGTGCCAAACGGGCACTTGTCCAGGGACGGTTTAACACGACTCCTGCAGATTTAACGTAGCATGAACAGCGTATTTCCTTCCTCGTGCCTTGGCAGCAGAAAAAATGCAATGTGTGTGTATATATATATATTATACATATTGTACATATTATACATATTACATATATATATATATATATGTGATTTTTGGGTGTGTTCCATGTCTGGAACCACCCTATAGGTCCCAATGAAATGGGGAGATCACGGGCGAATACGAGTATGAACCAAAAGAGGCTGGGAGAACTCACATTGACCAACAACGGCATGCGCTTTTAGGTTGTCCAGTTCTTGACCACGGCGGCATGAGCAAAGATAGGGATTTATCACTAATGTCAACTCGGATTGGTTGACCCTGGGTTTGTATCATTTGAGGGTTTAAGCGTTTAACGTTCCGAATTCATCAGCCAGGGTTTATTCATCTAGGGTTCTGGATGTGGAAACTCCCCAGTAGCCTACCTGACTCGTGCAGTCCAACTCCTTGGCCAGGAACGAGATGATTTGAAGAACTACTTGGTGCCTTGTCTCCCAGAGGAAACATCCAACGCGTTTTTCTCCTATTTGGATCTATTTTTGCTGCTTGCCCCACAGTCGTTTTTCCTTGTTTTGGCTACCAAGGAGGGTTTCCATGTAATTCCTTCAAATCAAACAGGTGAACACGCTGATGATTTTGGTGTAGATGCCTAGGGCCTAGGGGAAGCAAGACGTTTTTTGGTGGGCAGGTACAAGGGTCTTCAAATGGGGGCTGGGCACCCAATGTATATATAACATTACATAACCATTTTGATGGGGGGAATCTATGGTGAACCATGGGGTTTTGGGGGTATCCAAGCCTGAGACAGCGTGACATGATGTGATATGGCTAATCCCCTCTGGAATGAAAAAATCGCCGACAAAAGCCTGGTGTATGGGCATCCCTATTCATTTTGTGGTCCCATGTTACTGTAGGGGTACTGTATTTAATACTAGGGGGAAGGGATGAGTGTTCCCTTCTGGGGCTATCCCCAAGCTCAGGAAGAGGCGAAGCGCATGGAGAGGCAGTTGGCCAAGACTTTCAGGCTAGGGGAAGTGATCATTTCCATCAACCTGAGAAACATCGATTAAAACGATGAGGAACATCATGCTCTAAACCATGAAATGGAACTGCTTGGATGTGCATCCCAGTCAGCACTTGGTTTAATTCCGCTCATTATACAGCCCACATATATATATATGATATATATATGATATATATAATTATAGATATAGTTATATATATATTATATATAAATATAAATATAAATATAAATATAAATATGAATATAAATATGAATATAAATATAAATATAAATATAAATATATACACATAAAATTGGAACTATCTGTACGGGGTTTTAATGTGGTTATGATTCACACACCACTTGGGATTGATGCACCCTAGCGATCCCCCGTGTGGATTACATTTCTTGAGAGAACCGCACATGATTTTTCTGCCCCTTGGGTGAATCTCCTGCTGAAAACATGCGTTATTTCAAGTTATTTCAATGAAACATGTGAAATATCAGATTGTGGATCAAAGGACAGGAGTATTGGAGTCCATGCTTCAAATTTTCAGCTTCAGCAACTTGCGCATGATGGATTTCTGAAGAACCAACATGTCAAATGATTCGGGCTACTGGTACCTGGACTTGGACCCTCAAAGGACTCATGAAGCAGCGCATTCAAACTCGACTTTTGTTTTTCGTCCCTTTGCTTGTTGGGAAGCCGGCAGGCGGTTTCAAACAATGATTGACCCCCTGGTTCACTACCCATGTCAGACTGAGAATTGGGTGATGTGATGGAACCCCATTTATGCCTAAGTACTCTATAGGGCCAGTGTCCAAGCGAATTTTGGAATGATGAATCCCAATGGAAGGTGGCATCAGTGGCGTCCTGTTTTGGAGCCAAGCCTAGCGGGCCTAGCATTGTTCCTATCTTCTGTCGACAGGCAGACCATGGAAGGGCAGCCGTACGTTTCTGAGGACCCGAATCGGATCAACCGTATCATTACTTGGTAGAATTTTCCTTGGTTGGGTAGGTGATGGTAGGTTTCGGTAGGTTGATAGGTTGATAGGTTGATAGCTTGATAGGTCTTGGCATTTTGACACAGGAATATTTCCTCTCCAGCAAATCTCTCCAGCAAATCTAACAAGACATTGTGAAGGCAACCATCCTCACATGCCAGCTACTGTATATCCATCTATTCAATTTTCTCAGGGATGCCGGCACAATCCCATGATAAGTTAGTTTCGATGTACTTGCTGTAATTCGATGTAACTGCGACAATGCCTCATTACCCATCACAATAGTGGCAAACTTGGGCAATCCCTGACGATGATTCCATTCTGATTCTGACAGTCCGGGGTTGGAAAACCGCTTTCCAACTACGTTATGTAGAAGGCTTAGCGTTCGGCGGTGTCAAGGTCGCAACAGGCAGAAGGAGGTTTTCAGGGATGAACCGGATCAACTTGAGGGTTGATTCTTTATAAGAAATAATATATTCCTTATAGTAACCCCCAAAAAGATGGGAAAGTGCTTTGCCTGTTTTCAATAGGATTCTACTTTTCTACCTGGGGTTGTCAATCTATTACAGTGCTAAGTGAGTTGGTTTTGACAGACTCAGTGACATGGCCCGGATGGCCCTGGCTCCCATCGCTTCAGGTGTATAGCCTCAAGTTCAAAGGATCAAACACAATCAAATGATACTGATTTTCCTGTTCCGGTCTAAGACCCTAAAAAATTGGATCATTTTCGGGTACAGTGTCAGTGTATTTCCCCATTCTTGGACACAACTGGACGTACAGAGCCCCTTTGACGGCTAGGATTTGGCGAATGAGAACTGCTTCATCTACGGCTTTGCAGCGTACGTCAAGACCGTCGTGGACTTTGCGGAAAGCGCCCGGAAACATTTCAGTGGTACAACTGGGGGAGTTGACTGAGAAAAAGGTGAGTTGTATCAGTTGTATCCCATCATCACCGGCTTAAAATTGGACCAGTTAACTAACTGCATAGCCCATCTAGAAAATTGGAGAGCCAAACAGCATCAAATAGAGCCAGTTCAAAGGGTTTCTTCCTTTGAAGTTCCTGCTGCCTCTGTGTTTGTTGCGAACCCTTTGTTTGTCGGAATTTTGAATTGGGAAGTACTGAGTCCACTTCTATGGTTCCAAAGACAAAAGCAATTTGAACCCCGGGTGTGACATTTGATCCAAGTCGAAGTTGTTTGGTTGATCTTAAGCACAGTTTCCATAGAATTCCGGTCCCCCAGTCATGGGACTTATTGGAAGCTTGTGAGAAAGGGGTTCCATCATCCTGGCTTATTGGTTGAACGCGGCAGGAACTACAAAATCTTGACTCTCTCTGGAATTCTGCTTGATTCTCCTGTTGTTTTCAAGCTTGCATCTGGATGGATTGTATGTAGCCATGCACTTTGACTTTTTGGTTTCTTTGGGAACCAAAATGGGTAAACACCGCATACCAGGCATACCAGGCATACCGTCCTCCCAACTAGCATTAGACCCCAGATATTGAATTGGTGAATTCTCAGGGTTTTTGGGATGGTCTCCCACAGCTATACAACTTTCGCAGGGAGCTTTTTGAAGGTATCAACAGCCGGGCCTGACTAGGGTCTCGGCCGCAGGCCTGCCCACTGTTGCAGATGAGTTTGGGCAATCGAAGTGCAAGAACTTCTGCGAGAATCTGTGTGGGTCGATGCTTAGTCAAGGAATGGTGCAGAAATCATGAGCAAGCCAGGCATGGTGGGAAGATTTCAGAGTTACGGTATAAAGTATACCGTTTATAACCAACAATATGATATGGATTCCATGGTTTAGAACCTCATCGGCTCATGGGTCAATCATTTGCGACCTTACTGGCTTTTTCGAAGCCACACGTGATGGTTTAAATTTACAATATGGGGAACCGCATTCACTTTATGGGTGTATACATATACATATTTCTGAATGTGGGACTCATTATACAGTAATTTGATGTAATTTGCCTTCAATTCCTTATCCCATTTCATCCATAGGACTGATACATTGAGCAGTTGTTGGAAGAACACTATAAGCAAACCTCCCAGCAAGATGGACGATCTAGACATTGAAGGATCATGACTGGGACTGGTTCAAATTAAATAACCGCTATTAATCCTCAAAATTGCACGGGGAAAAAAAAATAATGAGCAATTGCCTTGGACATTTGACCATCATAGGGGGTCAGTCCACAAAATAGGGATTTACAGTAATCCAGACACATTTATCACTGGAATGTCCACTAAATTCCTCTGGCCTGACTACCAGAAAGATGGTTCCCCAAAGAGTATTCCTGCTTCGGCATGGTTCGAATCCAGTCGTTGGTAGGTTCAAAGTGGTTCAACTGCCCAAAGGGATGATGAAACCTAAGTGTCACTTGAAATTCATAGTATTTTTATGTATCTTTGAGCCTTTGCCTTTCGCGGCTCATGGATCAACCACCAGCGCAGAGACAATTTCAATGTCTCCTCAAGATCCAGTCAACCTCACTACCCTCTGGTATGGAAAATCACCATTTTTAATGGGTAAATCCACTATAAATCACCATATATAATAGCTATGTTAAATTACCAGAGGGTAACTTCCTGGACGCTCAGGATTGCGGACATGTTTTCCTGGAATTTGCTCCTGGGACATGAGATTCAGCTGACCACAAAGGGAAGGTCCGACCAAGGTCCGCTTTTGAGATGTTGTCCGGTGATTTTTTGATCTTCCGTGGCTATCAAGGACTCTAGAAACGGGGTGGATATCCGTTGATAAACGAGTTGCGATCTCACGCAACATCAAGATCACCAAGGTATCCGAAGGGAAACCATTGCGACAATTACTTTAGCATGGTCACAGAAGCTCAAGTTTTCAAGGAATCGGTACATTTCTTGGGTTTCAGCACTGTCGGGGGGGGGTCTGGGTGATCTCCTCACAAGGAAAATCCAAACGCAAGACGGTTAGTTCTGAGGCTTTCTTGAACAGGTCTACCCCCAAATCCCCAAAATCATCCGATTAGTTGTTATGGTCAGTGATTATTGATGATTAGTTCTCATTTCAGATACTACGTGTTTTTTTGAATTGATGGATTTTAATGGATGTTATACATACATGGAACTCCAATAATATGGCTGCGTGGGTGATTTTCTATGGGGAGTAGGCATGCGTAGCCCATTTGTGTAGGCAGGCCATGTAGGCGTTTATGGATTGACATACAGTAATTCAACTGGAAGTTATGAAGGAATTATCATGAATGATATCTTGTTGTATTGCATCAAAGAAAAAGAAAAATACCTCGCGGAACCATTGCGTAGGCACTGTCCCAACACATACCCCCAAGAACCCAGGTAACACCCCTTTGCGTAGGGTTCGCGTAGACGTGTGTTGCCAGTGTAGAGAACAACAAAAAAAACACGGCTCGGGTACTTTAATAATCCAGACACACCCATACCCTATTTTGTGACCATTTTAAGAGCAACATTATGATTCAGCCTCAGGTTTCAGGGTACCCATGGGTAGCCTATTTTCAGACAAAGGCCCCAATTTCGTCTCAGGATCAAAAACCCAGATAACCTGAAGTTCTCCTTCGTGAACTTCCTTCCAATCGTTCTGACCTTCATGATCGTTCCTTGATCCAACCTGAGGCGTGTTTCCTGGGGCCCGTGGGCCCCACTGGGCCCCATCACCTCACTTGGCTCGCTTGGATCAAATGGGCTAAAGTGGTGTACCATTTGCCCATCCGCTAATTACTGTAGATCAAAATTGGTCATTGAGTAATGAAGCCCACATTCAAACATGACCAATTTTTCTGGGTGAGCTTCTTTTGAGCCAATCCCAGAGGAATCCGCGGTTGGTGGGACTTCTTTTGACTCTGACTGAATCATGCAGCTGGAGTAAATCCTCGACCACGATGCTCAATGTTTTAGGATATTCTCCTTCGCAACTGCCCATTTGAGGGGTACATTTTGTACCCCATATACATATAATAATATATATATATAATATATATAATATATATATAATATAATATATATATAATATATATATATAATAATATATATATAATATAATATATATATACACATACACAGTATACACATGGATCAAGAGAAATACTTAGATTGGGAACTCGTAGCTGCTAACCCACAGCATTAGTCCTGCAGACATTTCTGCACTTTAAGGGCTTCAATATCAGCTGAAAAGGGCGATTGAAGAGTTAAGGCCTCAAAAAGGAGCTGTTCATAGAAGAAGGACGCCTGTTTTTGGATGTTTCTGGCTACTGATTCACACCCTTGACACCCACCCTAAAAGGGCATCCAGGATCTTTAAAAAGCATCCGTTGAAAAGTCGCCGAATTTGGCTCAAGAGCTGCCCCGACATGCTGGCACAACTTGCTCTGCTAGACAAACCACCCCAGATCTGGACCCTGTTGAACGGTGGAAAACTGTGGAATCCATCAATATGATTCAATATGTATGTATTATATACATACTACATACTATTTAGATATACTGATCATCGAATCCTCAGAAGATGAACATCCTCGCAGGAAAAGTGCATCAAATGACGCTTTTTGACTTTTGGCTACCACCATGTACCACCTATGCATGGTGAAAGTGGAGAATTTCAGCATCCCTTGGACATCCCATCCGTGCCATGGCTGGCATACAGCCCACGTTGATATTGGCTGAAAGCGACACCACCCTGGACATTCCCAGTGAAAATGTCACATGGCTGGCAGACCATGGCGACAGCGCACTAGCGCTGGAGTCGTGTCGATGACGGACGCCCCGATTTTGTAGTGTGAGCTCCCCGATTTTGGCTGCATGTCTATTCTGTGAATCATAATACGTTTTTGAATGTATTTGATTGTATACTGCATATCTGATATATCCTCGTATGTATATAATATATTTATTTGATGTATTTGGGTGCTTTGGTGCATTTGCTTCATTTACAGTTGTTCTTCTTACCAAGTTTTCCAGGTTGTGTCCCATTCTTGTCCCTATTGTCATTACATGTGATCAGCACGCTAAACCATCATGTGGATGCTTTCTCAACGAGAGTACTTGGTTTCTATGACAGTCATGGGATTCTAGTGGAAGATAGATGTTTCTCCATCTTGCTGACTCTGTGCGGCCCCCTTTTCTCATTTTTCTCCCTACCCAGGGATTCAATCCCATTCAATTCCAGTATGATTTGGGGTTTGAATCACATCCGATGGTATTGGCCTTAAAATTTCGTCCGAAATGGAGATGATTTGAATCCCCAGGGTGCCTCAGAACAACGGGGACGAGTCAAAGCCACAAAATCTCTTGGGGGATTCCTGTCACATGCACGTTTTCTCCATAAACAGCCATAAATCTTTGCCACAAAATGGAGGTTTCCTAAGTCATGGGGGTACCCCATTTATCATCCATCCATTTGATTTGATTTTCGGATTTTCGATAAACCATCCATTTTGGGGATCCCCCATGACTAAGCTGGTGCTTTCCCCAGGTGCGTCCACACGTCCGAGAGAGCTCTCCTTTGCCGGTGACCTCCCCACAACATGATGGCCCCGGGGATCGTCTCCGACTCTCCGAAGCGCCTGGACCGACCTGGATTTAAGGAGCAAAGGACAATCTTGTGGGCCATGAACCTTTTTTTGGACAGGTAATTGACCAGCACAAGATGGTGATATGCTATTGGAATTCATTAGACGTTGGCATTTAGCATCTTTTCGGTACATAGCAATTTTTGGCATGCGGCATGCATTCTTAGTGTTGTTAGCCATGGACATCCGTTGGTGAACTTTAGCAGTAAGTGATGTTCATTATTCTGTTTGTTATATCTGAATGAATAGAAGTTATATCATCACCACCGCATATTCTTGTTTGTTTTTGGTGTTTCTGCTGGCTTTGTTGATACTTGCCGAAGAAATGGACCGGCAGAATTCAAATACTAATAACTTCAATAACTTCAGCTCTCTAAAGAACATGGGTAGTCATAAAACCATTAAACAATATCAAGCTCGCGTGCTCATCATTGCATTCCCAGATGAATCTCATTTCTTCTGCCCGGAGAATCACCACCCTTAACCCGGGGAAAAGGCACCAATTGTTTATATTTACCAACAAGCAAGTCGCAGAAAAAAACGTAGATTCATCACCAGCACCATCCAACACCTAACCTTTTGATAATAACATATAATCACATCATATTGGTGTGTCTGAAAATAATCCTTGGATAAATAGGACAATAAGAAAATACACCATTGGATAAATCGAGGTTTTCCCTTAAAATTCCAGACACTGCCGAATTTAATAATGAGTATTTCATATGGTCAACAATTTGTATTCCAGAAATTGGATGCACCATTTTACCATGATCTACCAATCTTGGTACCACTTTTCCGAACACCCAGCAGCCCGACCATTTCCTCACCGCCCCAAGGAGTCAGCCTTCGGCAACCTTCCGCCTCTGGAGGAGGCCGCCACCCCCGCGGGCACGGTGGGCACCACAAGGAACTCCCTGCCGTTGCCGAGTCCGGGAACAGAGGCGGGGCTGGGGCATGGGATGTTGGTGAAGGTGGCTGAAGTGGTTTACTCCATATATATATATTTATATGGAGATGTGGTGCTGAGGTGGTTAGTAGATGTATAATTAATTAGATGGCTCAAATCCTGCGAATTTTGTGAATTCCCCTTAGAAAACTGAGTATTTGGTGGGTTATACGATGTTATACGTTATAAGTTATACTTAGAAACTGTGTTAGATCCCGGTATGATCTATAGTTGGATTAAGAACCAGCTTACTCGTACCTATCTAGGTGGGTTTAGTGGTTGGGAAGCCATTCGAAGTGGGTATTTTGTGGTTTATGGCCCACTTACAAAGCAAGTAACAAACTTCATGGCCCATCCAAGTGAAAACAAAGGCTTCCCTTAGGGCTTGGATATGCTTGGATGCGCTTGGATTGGATACCATGAATTGAATCCACTGGAAGCTCTGGAAGGGCTGTGATGGAAAAGCACGGCTGTCCTGGAGATGGTTTACCTGTTGTTTACCTGGTAGGATTTACTTTTGTCTGTTTTGAAATCCACATGGCTGGCTACAGGGTCGTCAAAAATGGGGATTCCATGCGGGATAAAATCAGTTGGTCATACTGGCTTCGAGGCATATCTGAAATATCCCATGTTTATACATGTTTGACATTTGGGCATGTTCCACTGTGTTGCAGTCCATTTTTCTAATTTCAGACAACTGCTAGATGACCCCGAGATGGCATCACTGAGTGCTGGCATCGATCCACAATCCCTGCCGTGCCGTGGTCCCGCGCTGAGACATCAAAGAGCCGGCCCAATTCCATCGATGCCACCTACCAGGTGCTTCCTCCACGCTTCACTTTCCCGATTTGGGTTGGTCCGCATATAACCCAGCCTGTGGTGATTTAACACTTCGCTATGGAAGCCATGGCCCATGAAAGTAGAGGATTTACCATGATTTACCTATGATTTACCTATGAACAGTCTGGGTTTTTCCATGCTTGTTTCTCCATAGCTACGGCCATAAATGGCCCATGCTGTGCCCAGGAGGATGTCGCGCCGGGCTGGGCTCCTGGCACACCAAGCTCTAGGACGCTAGAACTTGGTAGCCTCTGGTTATGTCAAAATAGCTATTGAAAATTACCATAGAAATAGTGGATTTACCCATTGAAAATGGTGATTTTCCATAGTTATGTAAACGTTTACCAGAGGGTAGCCTCAATTTTGATCTCCAAATGTCCAGCAACCGTGTCTCCTGTATTTTTCGATGAAGGTTCCATCGTTTCGATGAATCACAAACTTACCATGTTGAAAAAAATGATCATTGACATCCAAATTATCGAGAGACTTCAATTGTTTTTGGCCGTAAAGGACATCAACATGGTAAATGAAGGCTGGGGTTTACATGACTTCATAATCAATTTTCTGATATAATGGGGGTCAAATTCATGTCTTCTGATGGTTAAAAGAAACCGTTGGCACCCCTTAAAGATATGGGGTTGTGAGTATTTAGGGCTGAAACCTGGATTGTCTCCATCAACCTATGGGGAAAGAATGTGATGCAATGGCATGAGCGGATATTTTCATGGGATACAACTGATACTGTCCCTGCCCTGCCATGCTTTCTGGGTTATCAGCCTTTTCCTGGGACTGGGGATACCATATTTTCAGACAAACCTCCAGACTTAGTCTACTTAACTTGAGGCCTGGGCTCAAAAGATGAGATCTTCCAGGGAGGTATGTTCCCTGTGGGCAATCCAATAATAAACCTACCATGACTGGGGATGGTTGAAATCCCATGAACATTTTGTGTTTTGATGGTTTATGGCATTGGGTTTACCACATCATTCTGCTTCCACTGTGAAGATGCTCCAATGTACCCAAGCCGTTACCAACGTGGCACCATTGTTGGTAACGGCTTGGGTACATTGGAGCATCTTCACAGTGGAAGCAGAATGATATGCATTACTAGATGTCCTTACATAACGATATATAAGTATATATATATAAGTATATATATATATAAGTATATGTATATATATATATCTACACACACTGTAAGGCTTTGGAGCATGAATGACCCTGTTTGGATCCATTTTGGATTCTGATGTCTCAATGGCTCAAAGTATATACAGCCCCCCAAAATGGGTAGACGTCCATAGACGAGCATTTTCATGGGATCTGAAACCAAGGGTGCCGGGTTTCCCCAATAGGATGCATCCCAAGGAAGAACAACTCGCCCACAAAATCTCGAGAGAAACCATGTGCCTTGGAATCACTGCGCCTGGGAGGTGGTTTAAAGTTTGGGACCATCATTGATACCGGCAGCGGCGCGACCAATTATCTTCAGAATCCCGGGACTGATGTCGGTTGGCTGAACTCGTGATGACAAGTGGTCGGGAAACCACGTTTCTGGAAATTCCCGAGAATTGTTGTTTGTATACCAATTCACTTTTGAAGGTTGTGTCTTAAGTGGGATGTAGACTCCAACCATGTCTCTCGAACTGAGAGGTTCCAATCATATACCAAAATTGTTTGTTTGAGTAGGGAGACCATGGGATTGGCAACATGTCCCATAGTCTGCAATGTATGTCAAAACTCCACATGATTTTACGATATTTTACGTACATGGCCATGCATCAGAACTCAAACATCCGGAATCATCTGTATGTTGTTGGTCACATCCCGAAGTTCTCATCGACATACTGTGAAATACTCTCACATTTGTTCGGTTGTTCGCTTTTACATTTTCCACCACAGGATTTATTTGGGTTTGTCGAAAAATGGGTTGCCCTTAATCATATCTAATCATTATATCCCCCATTCAATGGCCATTAAGTCACGGTAAATCCTCCATTTTTTGGACAAATCTAGGGTATATTGATGGCTAAATCCCAAATCCGACAGGTAACACCAGTAAAAGTTTTGACGGTTAAACCGTTAAACCCCAAATCTGAGAGTTTAAATATTTAAATCATGTTAAATCTCCATTTTTCACAACGAAATCTCCCAATTTTCATCGTTTTCTCACACCCAGCTCCAGCTTACCTCGCAGCCGAGCGAGTCGAACGATTGCCAAGGCTCCACACCTTTCTCGAGGCCCAGCTACACAGCATAGCTAGTTGGCAAAAACCTGTAACCCAGAGGTGAGAATGATATGGCTATGGATCAATACCTATGAAAATACCATTTTTAATGGGATGAACATCCAGCTAAACCAGCTATTTTGATGTGAACTACAGGGGTACTATTGGTTTTGACACACTGCCATATACCTGAAACGATCGTCCGGGTGGTCAAAATTAAAGACCTGGCGGACCACAGATTTAAGTCTATGTTTAGTAGTAACCATCCAATAATTGGGGTACTCAATTTTGACCCATACATACCCATTTCTGATTGTAAACATTACACCTGGGTTACAACGTATCACTGGTTCGTGAGATGTTAGCCCCTATTTTTTTTTGCCGGGTGAAAAAGTGCTCTATATATGCTGGTTAATGATAGTTGTGGCTAGTGCTACCCTCTAGTAATCAAACATGGCAATGGGAAATTTCCTATAATTGGGGATTTGAATCGGAACATCATCTGTAAATGGAGGATTGTCCATTGCCATGTTTGATTAACAGATATACTGGTCCGTCTACTATGATCATGGTTTATTTATACCTTTCTTGTGATATGATTTTTCTAATGATGTGTATTCATAACTGGCATTATCACAGGTATTCATTTACCTCGTAACATTGGCCTTTTTTGAGCCACAACAACATACCTGGGGGCCCCCCAGTGGCTCTAGTGGCTCACCATCACCCTACCAGAACCTGATGGGGATAGATATAAACATCCAACGATGATATCATTTGAACTAAAAAAAGACATCATTAAAAATCAGATCCAGTTTTTTTTTTCATTTGTCTATTTTCATGAAAACATTATCGTTTTATTTCTATGTTTTTCCACACAACCACAACTATTTCAACATGTTTATTATTTTTTTCCATATGGGTGTTTCCTAAAATGGGGGTACCCTTAAATCATCCAAGACAATTTAACATGACTTAGTACTGAAACCTATGGTGACTTGGGGATCCCCCATTTTAAGAACCACCCCCTGTATACTTACAGTATATGGTCTTATAATGTCTTATATCATTTTACATCCCATATGTTCTATATATATATATATCTCCATACTCTTCCCATGTGTCCCCCAAAATTTCCCATATATGTTCCCCTCATTTTCCCCATGTTTTCCCCCATGGAACTTCTCATGTTTTCCCCCTTCGCAGAAGCTTGGCCATGGCCACCTGCAGCGCGCCTGAACGTCTAGCGGAGAAGATGGTGGAACGCCTGCAGCGCCCTGGTCATGGCAGACTCTGAGAATCGAAGATCCCACTGAGAATAGTGGTTAATATTAGTATTTATATATTTATATATAGTTAATATCCCATAATACTATATATAGTGGTTAATATCCCATGAATCCATCTTAATCTATATATATAGTATTCATATTAGTAATAATTTAGTAGCCCATATGGTTAAGAATTAGTATGCCATAGTCTCTATTTTGTAATATACGTAGATATGTAAATCCCGCTGGTTATATATTTACGGATATATGATATATGGGATATGTGTATATATATATACACATATACATAGAGTGAGTATATATGGTAATTTACCAATCTTAGTACAACCAGTTAAGTGGGAACGTGAATAACCATCAAACATGTGGGAAAACATACGGACAAATATGGAAACATATGGGTTGTCCATCTGTAAATGGGGTTTTCTTAAAATCGGGGAACCCCAAGTCACCATGGTTGTTTCAATGCGAATAGCTTGGATGACGCAAGGATACCCCCATGACTTAGAAAACCTCCATTTATAGATGTGATAACCCACTGAACTGGGACTTACAGTATGAGGCTAGTAAGCACTTACTAAGTTTGGTGATCCTCCAAGTGGCAATCTAACATAGCCGTGGAAAATGATTGTGTTGATTAGGTAAATCATCTACTGCGCATGGGTTTTCTACAGCCATGTTGAATGTAAGGTGTTACGAGGGGATTCAACTACAGAAACTTTGTTTCTCAAAAGTTGGAACTGAAATATATGACCAACAATCAGACACCAAATAATGTGATATGGATCTGACTTATAACGACCAGAATCCTGGAATTCAGCCCACACCTGAAGAAATTTCTTTGGGCAAATGGTAATGACGGCACCATGGCGTCACCCATGACGTTGCTGGGAGTGATGCTTCGGATTGACTACCAGAGGGTACCCAAACATGATATAGCACCGGCCCAAAAACAGATCAAAGTTTCTGTTCCCGAGAGTTGGGTAGTGATGGGACCCCCCAAAATCTCGATTCAGTGCTGAGAGAAGGGGCTCCAAAGAATCCTGGCTGACCCTTGCGACCACCCGAACAATCAGGCATTATCATGATGATGATGATGATGATGATGACAACATTTTGTTTCCATACGATGCTATATTATGATATATTGACTATATATATGGTCAATTTCATGATCATTGCCGTGTTTATCTTAACAGACACGCACAATCAACATTCCTTAAACTCTTCTTGCGCGGCAGTTGAGAACTTCATTATTTTTCCAGATCTTCAGCCGTCCCAGACTTGTGCCGTCAAGGCAAAACTGCTTGAGCGAAGCCAACCTGGGAAAAACGTCTTGCACCTTGGGCCCAGTTGTTCGGGATGGTGTTTTGATTTGGAACCAACTGGGTAATACACGGTAACTGGGTAAATTATAATTACCTCAGTGTGACCTCACTGGAATCATGGTTAGTACGGGTAATTATCCCAAGATTTCCTTGTTTCAGATTAGTGAAATATTATTGCTACACTTTACCCAGAGGCTACTCCCGTATGGTGACGATTTGCTTGAAACATGAGCCTTCCGGGATTCCAAACCAGTGAACCAATGGCTGATTTTCACCCAACAGGAGGATACTTTGCAAGGTTAGGCCCCCAAGCAGCCAAGTTAACCTTATAACTTGATGAACTGTTGGGTTTATGGGGGATATACATACATACATACATACATACAT